CGACTTCATAAAACTTAGGGAAGTGCTGGGTGAGATCCCATGGACAATAATACTAAAAGGAAAGGGAGTTCATGATGGCTGGGAGTTTGTTAAGAGGGAGATACTAAAAGCACAACGTCGGGCAATACCAATGAGACGGAAACATGGAAGGTGCCTAAAGAAGCCAGGGTGGCTATCTAAAGAACTTTTAACTGAGTTAAGATTAAAAAGGATGTGTACAAAAATGGAAAAGGGGAAACCACCAAAGAGGAATTCAAACAAATAGCCAGCACGTGTAGACACAAAGTCAGAAAAGCTAAAGCACAGAATGAACTCAGGCTTGCTAGAGAGGTTAAAAGCAACAAAAAAGGCTTTTATGGGTATGTTCGTAGCAAAAGGAAGAACAAAGAAACAGTGGGGTCACTCAGAGGAGAAGATGGTGAAATGCAAACAGGGGACACAGAAAGGGCTGAACTCCTCAATGCCTTCTTTGCCTCAGTCTTCTCCGATAAAGAAAACAATGCCCGACCTGAAGAATTTGGAGCAAATGATTCAGCAAAGGAAACACAGCCCAGAATAACTAAGGAGATAGTACAAGAATACTTGGCTAGTTTAGATGTATTCAAGTCTCCAGGGCCAGATGAACTGCATCCAAGAGTATTAAAAGAACTGGCAGATGTGATCTCAGAACCACTGGCAGTCATCTTTGAGAATTCCTGGAGAACAGGCGAAGTCCCGGCAGACTGGAGGAGGGCAAATGTTGTCCCTATTTTCAAAAAGGGGAAAAGAGAGGACCCAAATAATTACCGCCCAGTCAGTCTGACATCAATACCAGGGAAGATTCTGGAGCAGATCATTAAGCAAACAGTCTGTGATCACCTAGAAAGGAATGCTGTGATCACCAATAGTCAGCATGGATTTCTGAAAAATAAGTCATGTCAGACTAACCTGATCTCGTTTTTGACAGAATTACAAGCCTGGTAGATGAAGGGAACGCAGTGGATGTAGCCTACCTTGATTTCAGCAAGGCATTTGACAAGGTGCCCCATGATATTCTTGTAAAGAAGCTGGTAAAATGCGGTCTTGACTATGCTACCACTCAGTGGATTTGTAACTGGCTGACTGACCGAACCCAAAGGGTGCTCATCAATGGTTCCTCTTCATCCTGGAGAAGAGTGACTAGTGGGGTGCCACAGGGTTCTGTCTTGGGCCCGGTCTTATTCAACATCTTTATCAACGACTTGGATGATGGACTCAAGGGCATCCTGATCAAATTTGCAGATGACACCAAACTGGGAGGGGTGGCTAACACCCCAGAGGACAGGATCACACTTCAAAACGACCTTGACAGATTAGAGAACTGGGCCAAAACAAACAAGATGAATTTTAACAGGGAGAAATGTAAAGTATTGCACTTGGGCAAAAAAATGAGAGGCACAAATACAAGATGGGGACACCTGGCTTGAGAGCAGTACATGTGAAAAGGATCTAGGAGTCTTGGTTGACCACAAACTTGACATGAGCCAACAGTGTGACATGGCAGCTAAAAAGCCAATGCAATTCTGGGCTGCATCAATAGGAGTATAGCATCTAGATCAAGGGAAGTAATAGTGCCACTGTATTCTGCTCTGGTCAGACCTCACCTGGAGTACTGTGTCCAGTTCTGGGCACCACAGTTCAAGAAGGACACTGACAAACTGGAACGTGTCCAGAGGAGGGCAACCAAAATGGTCAAAGGCCTGGAAACGATGCCTTATGAGGAACGGCTAAGGGAGCTGGGCATGTTTAGCCTGGAGAAGAGGAGGTTAAGGGGAGATATGATAGCCATGTTCAAATATATAAAAGGATGTCACATAGAGGAGGGAGAAAGGTTGTTTTCTGCTGCTCCAGAGAAGCGGACACGGAGCAATGGATCCAAACTACAAGAAAGAAGATTCCACCTAAACCTTAGGAAGAACTTCCTGACAGTAAGAGCTGTTCGACAGTGGAATTTGCTGCCAAGGAGTGTGGTGGAGTCTCCTTCTTTGGAGGTCTTTAAGCAGAGGCTTGACAACCATATGTCAGGAGTGCTCTGATGGTGTTTCCTGCTTGGCAGGGGGTTGGACTCGATGGCCCTTGTGGTCTCTTCCAACTCTATGATTCTATGATTCTATGATTCTATGATTCTATGAAATACGTACAAGACAAACTGGAGGACACCAAATACTCTTGCTAACACACCACCAACTACAGGTCTTCTTAAACAATCCTGCAGTAAAATCAGCAGCCACTAGGCTCTTGACCACCTTCAAAAACCTTCTCCTGACAGCAGAGGGACATGGCAAGGGGGTGGTATCCACAATATACAAAATACTGCTTCAGAATCCCACAAACCCCCTAGACGCAAAAACAAAATAAAACAAAATGGGAGCACAACATAGGCTACAAAATAAACCTTACCCAATGGACTAGAATGTGGTCTTAACCTCCCTTTAAATACATCTCAGCCATAAGAAGGGAGCTTACTTTGAAACTTACCTACAGATGCTACCCAACACCAGGGAAACTGGCACTGATACACCCAGGAACCTCACCAAAATGATGAAGATGCTGCACCTCTACAGACACATACCTCCACATGTGGTGGGAATGCCCCAAAATCCAACCTCTTTTGACGGCAGTTTCTTACATACAAGAAATATGCAAAATAACTAAAAAGGTATTGGAAGCCACCTCAGAACTGGCCTCATTGAATATTTTCCAAGACACTAATGCTCACTCACACTACAAAGAGCTACTACTACTATAAAGAGCAGCCACAAGCATCATAGCTAGGCACCGTAGAGACCTGTCAGAAGTGAGCATGGAACACTGGTACCAAAGCCTTACTAGAAAAGTTAACCAACAGACTGAAATTGACCCAGAGACAAATAAAAGACGATGCCTTCACCTGATATGGCTCCCCTTTATTACACACACAGCCCAACAAGACAACCTACTGACAGAATACGAATCAATATGGCTAACTTGACCCAACAATTCCTCCCTACCCACCATGCAAACAAATCTCATTGCAGTCAACTAAAAGCAACCAACTATGCCCTGCCCCCCACCTCTCTCACTGCCAAGAAAAATAATAAATGAACAGAAAGAGAACCTACCCAAGTGATGCTGACACAAAAACCTCACACATACACTAAGTACAATAATGTAAATTTACCACACCTCTCCCCCTTTCCTCCCCAACCTTATACTGTATACGTTAATGTCTCACATCAAATGTAACTGATCAGTAGAAAAGACTGAGACTGGAAAATAGATAATGTATGTACTTTTTTAACCCAAAAAACTTTAACAGTTTTCTTTAAAACCACGGGATGCCCTTCTGTTTATGAAAAAGGTTAAGCACAATCTTCAAAGAATATTGAAGTGTAATATCATATCTGAAGAGTGGCTCCTCAATCATTGTGTGTTACTACAGTGGTACCTCAGGTTAAGTACTTAATTCGTTCCAGAGGTCCGTTCTTAACCTGAAACTGTTCTTAACCTGAAGCACCACTTTAGCTAATGGGGCCTCCTGCTGCCGCTGCGCCGCTGGAGCACAATTTCTGTTCTCATCCTGAAGCAAAGTTCTTAACCTGAAGCACTATTTCTGGGTTAGCGGAGTCTGTAACCTGAAGCGTATGTAACCTGAAGCGTATGTAACCTGAGGTACCACTGTACTTGTAAAAAAGTGCTTTTCTCTAATAAATATAACCACGAATATTTATGTATCTCACCCCCCCAAAGAAATCCCCACAGAAAGTCAAAGCAATGAGTATTGAACCCTAGTTTCTGTTTTATACAACTGGGAGTTTCTTGCTGAAATTCCAGCCTTGGTGCAAGTTGTTGGAAACCAATCTCCCAAGACCAAAAGAACAAGTGCTTACATTTATTCCAGTTTCTGTGAAATATATTCCTCCACCCTAACCCATAAGCTAATGGAAGCTTAAAAACCCATTGTTAAGAGAACCTCCTGCTTACACCTGACAGGCAGTGGCTGTCTGACAGCGTTCAGGGTCTTGCAATAGTTTTCTAAGCCTCTCCCATACCTTTTAAAGACTTCCATTGGAAGGGAGTTCTAAAGCTGGAGAAGAGCCACCAGGAATGCCCCTCTACATGCTTTGCCAGTCATGCAGAGGATAACAGCTCTAGGAGGCTGTTGGGAGCACAAGGCCATCCTAAGGGATGCAGGTCCTAAACAATTTTTAAAAATTACTTCTTAAAATGCACAGAAATTCAAGTGTTACTTTACCATTTGTATCCAGGCCTTTGCAAGTTAGGCTAGAGTAGATTGAGTAATGCTGTCCTAAGGTTCTCCAGTAAGCTTTATGATACTAATATATAGCTGCCTGAGATGAAGGACAAGATGGTGCCTCTCTCCTTCCTGCCCTCATTCCACAAACAAAGCTGACTGGACTGTGAATGGAATCTCACTTCACAGCATCCTCCCCCACTCCTGAGGGCAGCAGACTACTACTGAGGGTGCAGCACATGGAACATGGAACATGCCCAGGGGGTTCAGGAGGATGCCCCGCTCCCTGCATTTATTTATTTATTTCATTAATTAATGAAAATATAACACGTGAGAGTTTGGAAAAAAATCACTCTCTAGGCAATATAAAATCCAACGCTAAAATTATCAGGGGGTGGGGAACAGTTAAAAACAGGTATTTAATATATTTAAAAGATTACTCAAATCAACTCTAAAAGGTAAAGGTAAAGGACCCCTGACAGTTAGGTCCAGTCGCAGACGACTCTGGGGTTACGGCGCTTATCTCGCTTTACTGGCCGAGGGAGCCAGCGTTTGTCCACAGACAGTTTTTCCAGGTCATGTGGCCAGCAGGACTAAGCCACTTCCGGGGAACCAGAGCAGCGCATGGAAACGCCGTTTACCTTCCCGCCTACCTTCCCCTGCTAGGTTGGCGGGAGCAGGGACTGAGCAACGGGAGCTCAGCCTGTCGCGGGGATTCGAAACGCCAACCTTCTGATCGGCAAGCCCTAGGCTCAGTGGTTTAGACCACAGCACCACCCGCGCCCCGCAAATTAACTCTAGCTAAGGTAAAAAACGGTAAAGGACCCCTGGATGGTTAAGTCCAGTTGAATTTGACTATGGGGTGGGGTGCTCATCTCTGCTTTTCCTGCTGAGGGAGCCGGCGTTGGTCCACAGACAGTTTTCCGGGTCATGTGGCAAGCAGAACTAAATTGCTACTGGTTCAATGGGACACCGTGATAAGTGCCAGAGCACACGGAAACGCCATTCACCTTACCTTATCTTACCTACTTGCGCTGGTATGCTTTCAAACTGCTGGGTTGGCAGGAGCTGGAAGAAAGCAACAAGAGCAGACCCCGTCACACTGATTTGAACTGCTGGACTTATGATCAGCAAGCCCAAGAGACTCGGTGGTTTAAAGCACAGTGCCACCTGCGTCCCTACTCTAGTTTAGAAACAAATAAAACACATTTGCTAGAACTGCCTAAACAATTATTATTATTAATAATAAAATTTATCCCTTCATCCAAATATCACAGGGTAGTTTGCAATATAAAAACACAAAACACATAACATGATAAGCAAACATACCACCACCAACAATACCCCCAACACATTTAAAAGGCCATAGATAGTTTTATCAGCCAACTAACTGCCTGGGGGAAGAGAAATGTTTTTGCCTGGTGCCTAGAATTATGTAAGAAGGCACCATGTTTTAATGGGCACTGAAAACAGTACAGTGAAAACACCTGCAGGGAGTTCCAATGTACAGGTGCTTCCACACAAAAAGACTGATTTCTTACAAGTGCACAGTGAATATTATGTGGCAGATCCAAGCTGTCAAGTGAGCTTATGTGGGGTAAAGTGACAGTAGTCTCATTCTCCCTAATGGTAGGGCCGGCCCAAGTCTGTAGAAACGCTTGCAGAGACACAAGACAGTGGTGTGTGTTAATTGTTCATGGTGGGAAATCTTTGAGCCCCTGGATTCGAGAGTGAAAATGATAATCATGACACAGAAAGCTGTTCCAAGGATGGAAAACTCAGACAACAGGCCCACTTTCTCAAATCTCCCAAGTGTACAAACAAACCTCATACAGAGGAGCCACTGCTATCATGATTTTTTGGGAAGCCTAAGGAACATGGGTTGCCTTTTATTTTTTAAAATGGGACAGAAATAAGATACTAGAAAGCACAACAATTTCTTGATTATTTCTGGGTGCTGCGCCAGCCACGGAATTAAAAAGGAACAAATACAGGACAAACTAACAAACCAACAGGGAATATGTTACAGTCCGCCCGCAACTTAAGCGCTTGCAACTTCGCTTTACAAGGTGGGCAAAATAACATTTTTTGGAAAGGCAGCGAGTAGCCGAGGAAAACCACCTTTGGCATTCCCCTCGCCGTGACACGCTCCGCATTTGGACTCCGTGGGGTTTGGGCTGTGAGGCGCCATGAAACCCCCCCGGCCCGGTCCCTTTCCATCTCCCCCCCCCGCGTGTGCCCGTCGCCTCCCGCCCCCCGCGCCAAGGCGGCGGCCCGGCGAGGCCAGGCGCGAGGGGAGCAGCCTGGGCGCGTCGCCTCCCGGTCCATGCCCTGCGCCGCCTCCCGCCGGGCACCCCGGAGCAGCCTCGCTTCGCCCGCCCGGCCGCCCGCCTTCCTCCTCCTCCTCCTCCTCGCTCCAGCTCCGCGCGCCGCGCCGTCGAGCCTCGCCGAGTTGCTCCTCCCGCCCGGGCCCGGCCTCGCCCCTCCTCCTGCCCGCTTTGCCCGCGCTCGGCCAGGCACGTCTGAGGCGCCCGGCGCCGCGTCTCCCTCCCCGGGCAGAGCCGGGCTTCCCACAAGATGGCGGGGTCGGTGGCCGAGAGGGACGCGGTGGTGAGTGGCACCTGGTCGGGCTCCGGGCTCCGCAGGGGGGGGGGCTCTCGCCGGGATCCCTCCTCCCCCGCCGCCAGGTGGGCGCTTGAAGGGGGGGGCGGAATACCTGTCTGCGGTGGCGGGAGGATCCCGCGCCCACGAAGCGCGTGAGGGAAAGGGAGCCGGGGGCTTCGGCCCTTCTTCTTCTTGCCCTGCCAGCCTCCAGGTGCGAGATCTGGGCAGGCCCGCTCCATCTCCGGGGACGGAGCAGCATGGATTTCTCTGCTACCTGGAGCACTTGCTGGGAAATCGCGAGAAGCGGGCGACACCCTTTGTTGTGCAAAGGGGCTGGAGGGAAATAGGGATTCTCGCTCCGACTTGAAATGAAATGGGCGCTCTCTGTTGCTCCCCGGGTGCCCCTTCTCTCTCCCCGGGGGCGGAATACAAAGGGGGCCTTCTGCTTCTTGAGTGTGCGCTTGTTTTTGTCTCCAGAAAATAGAAGACGGGCATTTGAACAACTCACTGGGATCTCCTGTGCAAGCAGAAGTGTATTTTCCACGCCTGGTAATGTTTTTCCCCCCATTTCCTTTTTTTGATGCCTTCTCCTCCCTTCTTCCCTCTCCCTGTATTGTGATTTAGCCCTTTCTGCCCCGATGGTATAAGCGGCTGTTCATTCTGAATCCTTGCAATCCTTTTCCAGATTGTCCCATTCTGTGGGCACATCAAAGGAGGAATGAGGCCGGGCAAGAAGATCTTGGTAATGGGCATTGTGGATCTCAACCCAGAGAGGTAATAAGACAAGACGGAAGGCTTTTGTTTTCCACTGGCCCAGTTTCTGTCTTCAGTCTATCTAAGGTCTGCAAGAAAAGCTGTGTTTGCATAAAAATAAAAAGAATGTGCTTGCCAAACACCCATCATTTCTCAAGACAAGCTATTTTTATCTGCAATGTAAATATAGAATGCTGCTTTCTCCTTTGACCCATGGCAGCGGATGTATTTATATAAGGGAAGGTCATTGTTTCCCAAAATTTCATGTGGCCTCTGTAAGGGCTGCTTCACGCGTGATATGTTTTCTAAGTGGAGATCATCTCCATGCGGGTTTTTTTTGGGGGGGGGGGAGGAGACATAGGAGCCAACTTCTGGGGGGAGGGGTCTTTGCCTCCCATAAAATATTTCAGGGGACCAACCCCTGCAATGTTGATGGGCATTGCCATTCAAATAGTGTGCATGCACCATGTCATGTGATGCAGGGTGGGGCTTACCTGCTCCCTCACCCCCGCCATATTTTATTCAAGTCGGCACCCCGGCAGGAGAAGCATATAATATACAAAGTGACTGTAAAAAAAAGATTAGGGAGCCTAGCAGGAAAACGTGCCTACACACATACTATACCTATGTGCCAGCTGTTGTCAATACCAGTAAAATGTATTTGTACAGGCTTAGAAGCCAAGTGTGCTACATCCTGGATTTTATTGCTTTATTTTGGGTGAATGAGTGGGCTACTGTTCCCATTACAGTTTTGACATCAGTCTCACATGTGGGGACTCAGAGGATCCTCCTGCTGACGTAGCTATTGAACTGAAAGCCATATTCTCGGACAGACAGTTTCTCAGGAATTCTTGTGTATCTGGTGAATGGGGAGAAGAACAATCATCTCTTCCTTACTTTCCATTTATTCCAGACCAGCCCTTTAGGGTAAGTACTTTATAAAATTTATAAAATAGTTGTGTGTAATTGATGGAAGTGCTTTTGGTGTTTATTTTTAAAAATAATAATACTCTATTTGCATATTGAAAAGAACATTGAGCCACAAAAATCTCTGCCCATCTGAGTATTTTAGAAAGGCACAGATTCAAAGCTACTGATTTAATCTATGCATACAAATTTGATGTTATGCTAGTTTGTGTGTCATGCATGGCAACTCATCTGAACAGTCAAGAAACCCCAGATGGTAATATTAAAGATGGTAATATTTAGTGGTATAGCAAACTTTCTGGGTTTGGTAATTACAACCATAAGTTAAAAGCACTCTAAAATTATGCCTAGGTTTGAAATGGCTACTATATAATTCATGCTACTGCTTCCATGCCTCCTGGGGTGCGTATGTGTAGGCACATGCGCGCACATGCACACACACAAAATTAGCTGATGAATGTTCATACAATCCAGCTGAGTTTCTCCCTGGCTGACTGCTGCTTATTATGTCCATAGCAGGCACAGGAATAATGAATAAACAAATGCAGCTCCATGAAAAGTTCTTCATCTTTTTTCTGCTTCATGCCACCTCCATTTTTACTATAAAAAAGAGAGTGGGTTTTTAGTAACAGTTGGGCTAAGACAACTTACGGGCAGAAGCAGACTTGCAAGTTTGGATGTTATGCATTGGGTTTGGAGCATCTGAGCACAGACATCTGTTTGCAGTGTATCACTTTCAAAGGACAGTGTCACAATACATCAGAAACCACTTTGGCCTCGTGAGGGGTTGTCTTGGGTCCAGACATCAGCAAAGCAAATAATGCTCCAACAGCATTGTGATCAGTGTGGGAGCTTGTTTTCTTTCCCCTTTGGCCTTCACAGAGGCTTCTATAAGGCAGGGAATGGGGGCATACTTCTGAGGCCAGTTTGCAACCATCCTTTAAACTGTAAGAAGAGTCTCCTAGCAGTTTAAAGGATTGTGTGGGCAGGGGAGAATTTGGACTCAGAAAATGAGTGTCTGAAGGTATTATCCGAGGCATCTAAACTTTAAAGGGGCTGTTCTTTGACCCCAGGTCCTCCCTGTATAGGGAAAGTGATTTGCAGGCTACTTGCTTTACTTCAGCCAAATGGTCAAACAGCAAGTTGTGTGTTAAATGCATAATTGCACTGAATGTAATGCATTTCTAAAAAACAAAAAAAAATTGTCCCAAGATCCATTCAGGATCATGACTTCACTGTGTGGGGAGAAGTTTTTAACCTTTTCTCTTCATGCTCCAGTACACTTTCCCCCAAATCATCCCCTAATAGCATCTTCTCTACTCGGTGCAAATAGGAATTAGAGATGGGACAACTTTCATTGGTACATGCGGTTAAAAGGTTAAACAACCCTCCATGTACACTCTAGTCCTGGTTCTACATACCTGCCACCTTGCAGCTGCTACTTAAAAGAACAATAGCAACAGACGTGTTAAATGCAATCACAGATAATATTAATCTTGGCTCTAAATCTCTCTTCTGATCACCGGTGTGCTACTCTTTGTTTCTAGGCAACCAGAGGCCTGAACATCGGCACAGACCTAATTTTTTGTAGTTTTTGAAGAGTGGCTAGTGTGTGTGTGGAAAATATATTTGCCTTAAAAAAATGTTTATTCAATTTATATTCCACCTTTCCTGGAAGGAGCTCTAGGTGGCATACAGTTCTCCCTCTCCCCGTTTTATTATTTATTTTGTAAAAAAAATCCAAGATTTTTCTGCACATTTGAGTGAGCCTTCCCACTATGCAGGGTCCTATTCAGGCTCTCACCCTGCAATTACTTTATTGTTTTGGTGTCTAAAGTACCCACAAATTGGACACCCACTTTGTGAATAGGCAGTGGTATCCCATCCAGGACATGATGGAATGCAGGGCAGGACAGGGAAGAGCATCTCTAGTATAGTGGTTATAAGTTTATGTTTACAATCTGCAGCTGGATTCCTTTGTCTTGAATAGCAGTAGGGAAAGTAAATTACATGAATAGTGCAGCCTGGGATTATGGGATTTCTAGCCAGTTTGAGGAGGCAGCAGACAATTCATTCTACTGTAGGCCACATTTATTACTTTTTCCTTAGGAATAGGAGAGTGTCCAGAGGAAAACTTGTGAGAAAGACATATTTAAAGTGATACTTAGCATTGATGCTTATTGTTGTAATGCATCCTTTACGAAGTGTGATTTAAATTGCAGGGTAAATGGCAGTCAGCTTTTGAGGTCAAATCAGGATAAAGCTTATCTGAGTCCATCTATCCAGGCCACAGGCACATCCTGCATGAGCTTTCTCTGGCGCTTTGGAGTTTGGAAGCAAGGCTGTGCATATGCCAGGCATACAAAGCACTGTGTTTTGTGCACTTTGAGATACTAAGGCTGGGAATGTTTGTCCTCCAGTATATTGTTTACTGGGCTTAAAGACAATCCAATTGCACCATGACCTTGTGTTAAATTAGTTTTAGCCACCATTCAATTTCTTGTTTTGTTTTGTTTCTGTGGGATGGCTAGAATGCTGGATTTGTATGAGGGAGAATCAGGAATACATCCCCACTCAGGCTCTTTGCAGATTGATAGATTGATTTGTTTGTTCAACATATTTAGTAGCCAGTCTTTAACCATGGCAAAAACATATGATGGAAAACATAACAATACAGTAAAGTAATAACAATCTAATCAACAACAATAAATGTAAAATACAGCAGGCAATTAAAATCTAATGTAAAAATGAATACAGTGTTGAAACAGCCTGCCTCCTGTCCCCAATTGTGTAATTTCAGTTGGCAGAAGACCAGGGCCTCTAAAGCCAATCTTGATGGCCAGACAAGTTCATGTGGGAAAAGATGGTCCATTAGATACCCTGGTTCCAAACATTTTAGCACTTTTAGGTTAAAACTAGCACTGTGCTTGGAAAATCACTCATAGTCATTGTAGCTGCTCCTCCACCCGGCTAGCCTCAGCTAACATATCTGCAGTGTCTGAACAGTCTCCAAAGGCAGCTAACTGCTCACTGCAGTAAGTAGTCTAAACAAGTTGCAATGAAAACATCTTATTTTCACTTGAGAAGTTGTATTTTCTTTTCATTGGTTGCAGTGACCCAGAAAACCTTTTCCTACTCTACAAGCATATTTCCCAAAGCCTACTGGTTGTATTCAACTAACCTTTACTCACAGTAGACCCATTGAAACAAATGGCCATTACTAACTTGGGTTCCTTAATTTTAATAGGTTTACTCTGAGTAACAGTCAGTTGAATGAAACCCAAAGTGCGGAATGGAGTTGCTGGAAAAATACATCCCTGCCCCACAGCTGCACCTATTCTGTGAACTGGTAGCAAAAAGAAGGGTTTAGTGAGCCACTTTACACGTTTGGTGGGCTGTGTTAGGTATGATGGGTCACAAATTGTCCCAACAAGTGCTTATAACATGATTTGCAACAAGGGATTGTGCCCTGCAAGTTTTGAGATAGTTAAATATTCTGCCATTTAATCAACAGCAGGATGGCTGTGTGTGTGTGTGTGTGTGTGTGTGTGTGTGTGTGTATGTTGAGTGGCAGTGGCGTTGTCCCAGCAGCAGCAACACTTCATTCTCAAGGATGCAGTGAGGCAGTGGTGAGGTCATGGGAGCTCTGAGTTGGCATCAAAGGCATCCACAGGTGAGCACAAACCTGTGAGATGCCGATAGCCCTGAGTTTCGCTGACTTTGCTGCTGCTTTGCTCTGCCCCATACTACTAGCAAGCAGTAGTAGTACCACTGCCTCTCCACCCTGTTAACATGCTGCTGCATTTAATGTACCCTTTTTATTGCAGGTTGTGGGGGGGGGGGGCTGTTCCCTTCGGAAAGTGTGTGTTCCTGATATAATATACATCTGTATCAGTACCTTTTTAGAAGACCTGTCTTTTCCTCTGCATCAAGGGCTCTTCATGCCCCTTCTTAGATGTGAGGATGCAATTTACTGGTGCTGAATGGGGCCAATGTTGTATTCTCATCACAGACATTTCATTATCTGAAAATGCCTTTATGGGGAAGAGCCATAGCTCAGTGGTAGAGCACAGGTTTTTCAATAATAATAATAATAATAATAATAATAATAATAATGGAATAAAAATAACAATGTTGTTGGTGGCATCTGTCTTTCTCGAGAGGCAATGGAGTGCACTGAAATGACCTCCGTGGGGCACAAGCCTGGGCAGTGCTTGTGGAGGTCCTGGGCTGCGCAGATGACAAGACCCACCCCCTTGGCCTTGCTGATGTGGTCCAAAAGAAAGCAGGGCAATACGTTTGGCACCAGCTTGACTGCAGGGTTGCCGGAAGGAGGCATACAAGGCGCCATCCAACCAACTTAGGGAGTGCACTTCGGATTTGTGTAAGCTTTACTCTTCAGTTTTTCCTTCTCCTGAAGACATCCCGCAAGGCAGCAGAGGTTTAGGATCAGAGTTTTCTTTCTCCCAGACGGGCTACCTTCTCAGGTTGACAAACCCCATCTGGCCCCCCACAGCACGTGCAGAAACTGCCTTTTTGACCATTGGGCCCACTGTTGGTCTTGTCCCCTCAGTCCTCCAGAGCCTGACTTTGCATGCAGGGGAAGTCCCTAACTCACCTGGTTTAGCCAGCCAGTCAAAACCGTTGCCGGGATGTGGCTGCTGTCACGTGCTGACAGCTTCTAGGAGCCGCAGGTGAGAGCTGAGTGCAGGGTGGGGACCAAAGGTGAACAAACTACCCCAGAAGGAGCAGGACATGTCTCCCACTACCCCTCCCCCACATGCCATACACCCCAATTAGCATTTAACAGCACATTTCAATAATCCTGACAGCCGTTTTGTGATGCAGAGTACTTCAGGGGTGCAGAACGTTTGGCCCTTCAGATGTAGCTGGATGTCAGCTCCCATCACCCTCACCAGGCATGGTCATGGCCACGGATGATGGGAGTTGTAGATCAGCCAGCAACATCTGGAGGGTCACAAACGTCCCACAACTAACTGGTGGGGGTAAAGCTAAGGTGGATAGATGCCAAAGAGGTCCATCACCTTCAATTGTTTTCTAGAAGGGGGAATTTCGGCTGTAGTTGGTCATCCAAGCTGCACCTGATGACATTCTCTCTGCTGAGTGACTGTTAAAGGTGCAGGATCCCATCCCTCTTTTGCATCTTGTTGCCATAGGTGAAGGTGGAAGAGACAGTGGGTAGCTAGGCTTGAGATAGGAGTGAGGTGCTCATTGGGAACCTCTTTGGCCTCAGAAGCTGGAATATTGTGCTTCTGAGAATGTAGAGGTCATCAGTAGCCAATATATATGTGATCTTATGTTTCGTCACACACAAAAGAAATCTGGAATGTGAACAAGACCGAGCTGGACTGTGGGCTTTTCATACTACACTCCACTTCTTGAGGTGCATTTTGCCTACTGAATTCAGTATCACAATAAGCCAGTTCATGTCAAAGGTGCTAGAGAACTTGGGTGACTGGGATTTTAGACCTTTGAGCTTCTTCCCTTCCAAGATTCCTAGAAATACATTTCTTCAAAACATGGGTTGATTCTTTTTTAGAACACAATCTTAGGATCAGATGGACAGGACACCCCCCCCCCCCCCGTTACATTGATGCTTGGGGACTGAACTGTGTATTTTTGTTGGCAACACGGCTCAGTTGGTTGGTGCTGATAATGCCAAAGTTGCAGGTTTGATCCCCACATGGGACAACAGCACATTTCTGCATTGCAGGGCTAGATGATCCTCAGGGTCCCATCCAGCCCATCCAACTCTAGAATGTTATGATTCTATGTATACTGTGATCCTGCACACCATGTACATTGGTATTTACTCCCATCTAAGCGTGTATAGGATTGCACTCTTAAGTGCCTTAGAAGAATACAGTCCTGTAGTCCTATTTTAAGTGAAGAATTGTAGAACTTCTACTGTTGCCTTAAATAGAGTTGGCTCTGGGCCCCTGGGCTTTTATGGGTAATGAAATTTTGTGTGTGTGTGTGTTCTATTCATTCACAGAGAACTGTAGAATTCTTATATTTCCAGTGTAGATTCATCTCACTTTGGACCAGGAAAGCCAATGTTTGTCCTCGCTAGGCAAGGACCAGAGTGGGGGATTAGCACTGTTTGTTTTGGTAATTCAGTGCAAGTCAACCAATATTGTTCAAAACTCCATACAATGTATTGTTTCTTTTGTTGATGTGGTAGCAGTTGGTGTAGTGAGGCAGACCTGGAGAACAACCCTTTGGTCATTGGTGTCATTACCATAGCTGTCAACGTTTCCCCTTTTTTAAAGGGAAATTCCCTTATTTCGAATAGGATTCCTCGCAAGAAAAGGGAAGTTGACAGCAAGGGTCATTACAGCTTACTTGCACAGGCCTGCTGTGAAGCTGGGCTTTGCAGACACTTAGGCAGTCCGGCGCTGCTGCTGTGCAACCCCAGCCTTGTTCCCTCCCAGGACCTGTCGAGATAAGCTGTAGTGATGTTGGATGCTGCTGTAATGATCTACATTGGGAACAAGGGTGGGAGACCAGCAGCTTCTCCTATTGACCAAAAGGCCATTGCAGATCCATCCACCAAGGCATGTGCCGCAGCAGAGGGTGGTACGTTCCTTGGAGGCTGGATCTGCTGCCCCTGTGGATCCTGCCGCCTGAGGCAGTCACTTTCCTTGGCCTGTGGGTGGGCTGGCCCTGGATGCTGGTGTTGTGAACATAAATGATATGTGGACTGTGCACAACTGTAAAGTAACTTCAGATTCGCAACCTCACACTGACTCTCATTATTTCTGTGCTATTATTTGCTTTGTCATTGTGTCATGGAATTTTTGTGACCGTACTATGCATTCAGCAATATCACTACGCCTGGCAGAGTAATGCTCCTAGGATTTGTGATAATTCATCCATTGTTTGTTTGAGTCAGTATTCATCATTTAGAATGTACTTTCAATTCACAAATCATTTTGCTGTAGCCATTCTATCTAGTCATTTAGTACATTGTCACAGTAGCTTTATGAGGCTATGCTCATTCTAAAACTGCAGACCTGGGTCTGGAGCTGAGAAAATGTCTTGGCCAAGTGTCACCCACTGGTCCTCTGAGCAGTGTTCTCAGATCCACATTAAATGCACTGGATTATAGTGATTTTGATCCATAACTGGGTGTTTATTGACTGGATTTAAACTATTCTGTAAAGCAGTGACCTAACCCCACAGATGCTCTAAGCAGTATAAAATTGACTATGGTTCCCATAATGGTGATATTTATGTTCTGTGAAATGCTCCTCCCAGTTCCAACTGTGATTCTGGTTCATAACATTTCTTTCTTACAGGTTGAAATACTTTGTGAACACCCTCGTTTTAGAATATTCGTGGATGGACACCAGCTTTTTGATTTTTACCACCGCATTGAGAAGTTGTCAGCTATTGATACGATAAAGATAAATGGGGATCTCCAACTTACTAAACTTGGTTGACCTTGTTTTCATATTCAAAAGCAAAAACAATCAGATAAAGATAAAAACCAAAATTTTAGATTCCAAATTGGCTCAGATGCCGTCCACATCTGTCTGAAGGAGCAGAGACGAGCAACCCTTGAGCAATTTCCCTCTAGGGCAGGCACCAACGTTTTGCTCCCATAAGCAGCAAAGAACATACTGACGGACTGAAATACTGTTTATCCTAATGAAGAAAGCAATTGATGATTACTTGAGACTGAGCCGTGCCCCATTTTTCTTTGGCACTAAATAGCCTATGCCTGCTGGATAATCAAATTATAGTGGATCCTGAAAGAGTTACTTCATTGTCTATAAACTGCAGAAGCTATTGACAGGGCAGTTTTAAGTGCTAAATGTATTATTAAATGACAAGGGAATCGTTTTCTTTTGGAAATATTTCTCCTGCACTTAAGTGGGTTAATGTAAGTGTAACACAGATCACAAAGAGGGTTAAATGTGGAAGTCATTATTCAGTGCCTAATGCTGGTCTCCTGAACACCAGTGACAAAAAGTCCTGTGGACTCTAATGGCATGTGATCAGCTAGACACCATGGCTCTGTCCTGTCTCAACACACACATCCCATTGAATCAAGTGGACTTGGGTGTGTTTAATTGTGCATTGGATTGCAGCCAGTTACCATTGTGGTTTCTACTTTGGGGGAGTTCGTTGTCCAGGGAAAAGTCAAAACTGAGTAATGGCTTCTGGATTTGGCTTTCATATGATAGTCAGGGTATGTGCATAGAATGTAGGTCATTAAATGTTTTTGCACAATAGAATATTAATACAATTTTTTAAAGCTTCTAGTTTATTTATTGATACCCATTGTGTTAAAGTTCTAACTGCAAAACTGAACAATATAACTGAGATTTAAGAGCGGCAAAGTATTTCTGAATGTACAAGTGTTCTTTGGGCAAATATTAACATATCATTTCGGAAATATGTCCTCTTTGTCTTTGGGCACTTGGTGGAATCATTGTTCACAGAACCTTGGTTTGTACATGTCTTCACTGGAAACTACTTTCAATATGTTGTTAAATCTGCTGTAAATGATAAGGTCAGAACTGATGGGATGTTTTGAGGGGACGAGGGTCCCATGCACACACAGGAACAGAAGTTTCTAGGTTTATTGGTGTGCCTCAGTTGCAGTTTTGTACCCACTTAAGTGGGTGGGAGTAAGCCCCACTGAACTCAGTGGGACTTATTTCTAAATTGACATGTATAGGGTTGCGTTGTTAGACCTTGAGGATACAACTGTCTTCTGCAGACTAGTAACTTTTCGTGGCTACTGTCATGGGTGTGGGAGAGAATAGAATTCTCAGCACATCTAAGGACAAAAAATAGCCTTTTAAAATGGCTCAGTTAATAATGTATCAGATACCTTCACTTAGGCCAGTGGTGGTCAAACTTGGCCCTCCAGCTGTTTTGAGACTACAATTCCCATCATCCCTGACCACTGGTCCTGTTAGCTAGGGATGATGGGAGTTGTAGTCCAAAAACAGCTGGAGGGTCAAGTTTGGCCACCACTGACCTAGGCAATAGCTCTTAGTGGTAGAGATGAGCGCCACTCCCCCATAGTCATCCTGAACTTAACCATCCAGGGGTCCTTTACCTTTACCATATAACTGCATTGTCCATATGATTACACGGCCCAGTGAAATGTACCCCTCTGTCAATGTTTCACAGTGGGTTTCCGAGGCCTTGTTTGGGTGTTTACAATCTGAGGAATGGACATGTCTTATTTTTAACACATGTATTATAGTGACTTTTAAATATGTTTATTATGGAGACTTTTTGTAGCGTAATGTTTTTTAAAACACCAAAAGAGGTAACAAAATGAACTTATGCTTAAATCAATCAATCAATCAATCAATCAATCAATCAAAGCTGGGACCTTCTTGTTTGAGATATTTTTTTAAAAAAGATTAACCACTCCTCTGCATCACTCCATCATCTTAGTAGGTGAAGTACTAGAAGTTCTAGGTTTAGTCAGTTCACATGGAATTCATTTTAGTGAGGAGACGGGGCCAAAATTTCTTTCATACACACTCTGTAAAACTGGAGTGGTGCTAAGAAGATTCTGCTATTCACCTGTGTGTAGCCTCTGCTCAGGCCCAGCAAAAGTTTACAGTGCCATATTCTGAAGTTCTGCTCTATTACAAGTGACAGATTGGCTAGTCTGAGGTTAAAAAAGCCATTACATTATCCCCAGATCTGCCTACTTCACCTACTAAGGTTGGCAGCATCACCCTCCCCTTCCTGGGGCACCTTGCATTGCAGAGTTAGGTGGGGCTTATAAGAAACAGCAGTGGATAGCATGGAATAAGTTTTCTGCTTGTGTTTTAATGGACATAAGAAAGGGATACAAAGAACCCCCTCAAGCAAGGATCACAGCAGAAAGGAGTAATCAAGAGCAGTAATAGGTCCCACTGAATGTTATGAGAATAATTTCCAAGTCAGCATGATTAGAATTGTGTTTTAAGACTACAATCCTATGCAGATTTACTATGGGTTCAGCCCTTCAGTGTTCAGTGGTACGTACTTCCAACATGAATAGGAGCAGGGTACAATACGATACGCTGCAGTCTTATTGGGAGTAGACCCTGTTGCAGTAAATCAGAATTATTTCTGGGTAAACAAGGCTAGGATCAGGCTGCATATATTTAAATCATAATGTCCACTGAATTTTATCTCTCTTTCTCCTGTATGCAGTAAATACTGTGTTGATAAACAACACACCCCATCTGAGTTAATGTAAGAATATGCACAGAGTTGCTGTATTTGAGTTTGTGATTGCATACTCTTACAGCAATTCAAAAGTGTTCTGCATCTTTAATTGAGTAGTATATGTTGTGATTATGATACAAACCTCCCAGCCCTTACAGAGTTTGTGGATTAGACACTTTGTACACTAAAAACTTGGGGGAACTGAACCAGAATTCCTGGAACTGCATGAATGTGTGACTAGACTTTTAAGCATGCAAGTATTCACCTTGAAATCAATGTCAGGCCAAGTACCTGACTGAATCTCACTTGCACTGTGGAGATGAACAGAACAGACCCTGCATGAAGCGCATCTCCAGATGTCTCCATCTCCTTCACCTTTATCATTGTGGGCATAGCTATATTTCTGTCTCTGCTGCATATGTTATTACCACTCCTCAGACATCAAGATAATTAATGTCCCCTGTGATTTTGCAATATTGTTCTGCTGTGCTACTGTTGCAAACACCCATGAGAAGTAATTAGAATGAGGCAATTCAAAAATTTAAACGGGAAACCTTTGACTGTTTCCTTGATTCCACCCGTCTTCCTTCTCAAGTTTGTATCGGAACGCAAAAGGTTGTTTTTCAGGTGATCATTCTGCCTCCCCTCCATTTCCTCTAAGAGTAGCTTTATATGAGTATTGTACTCTTTGTACTGCAGTTTGGATTCAGTGTAGAAATCTGTCAGGATGAATTTACATGATGTATAAATTGTTGAGCTGATTGTGTCACTTCATAGTGTCTTAAGAAATCCTACAATATTTCTATACAGTACAAAAACAATATTCTTGAAAATAAACACAGAAAAAGGTTTTCTATAAAATGTTTGGATTATTGATGTGACATACACAAACGGACAGGTAGGCTACTGATCTCTAGGATTTGGGACAGTTACATCTTTTGGGTCAGCACCAGTCACCCTTGAAGTAGTCTCGTTGGTTTCATTAGGTCCTCATGAGTGTGACTTCATTGCATATCACCCTTCATTTATTTCAGAAAAAAATACCGATTTTGATAAGAATACTTGTAAAAAAAAAAACAGTCTTGGTTGTTTCCTCTACAGTCTTGTAAATGTCTAATAGGACCATAGGTTTTCAGTTCATGGGTTTGAGGTTACAATAAGAGATGCCAGAACAAATGGTGGATTGACAAAGAATAAAATTATCCGCTGTAGGCTGCAATCCTAAACAGAGTTTATTGGGATGAGAGTTCTATCGGACATACAGTAGTAGGACTTACCGTACTTCTAAGTAAACATACATAAGATTGTGCTGTATGACTAATGTGCAGTGTGAACCTATGCATGTTCACTCAGAAATCTGTCTCACCATGTCCAGGGAGTGGGCATAAAATTGCACTGTAGGGCTGCAACCAACACACTTACCTGGAAGTCCCACTGAAGTCAGTGGAACCCACTTCTGAGTAGACATGAATGCTCAATGGTAGGAGGCTTTTGTTAATTCTCAGTGGCACAAGGCAAAGATTACTCCCAAGTCTGTAGAACCTGTGGTAAAATCCATCAAGTAATATTTTAAGCTAACCCCAGAATCAGATTTGTTGGGACTTTTACATTTGGGGCACAAGTCTATGTGCATTCTTAAAAAGCATGGCTGTTCCTTGAGTTGGTTTGGTTTAATACTTACTTTATATAAATAAATAAGTATTTTCATAGCAACAATGGAAACATAGCAAGGGCCTTGCTGGGTCCCACCAAAGGCCCATCTAAGCCACCATTTTGTTCTCTGGCCAACCAGATGGGAAGCCCACAAGCATTTCTGTGCATTTGCATATGCAGCATTCCAGTGTGGGATCTTGCAACACATGGAAAATAGGTTCACTCCTCTGCCTGTAAAGGTACATACGGAAGAAGATACAGCTTAAGCTTCTAACAGCATATGGAGTTGCTCAGTTGTGATTGCTGTTGACAAATACAGATGCAAATAAGCTGCCACAGCATTCACACCAGATTACATGCAAGAGACCTGGATACCAGTGCAAATACTGACAAATTTTCTGTAGACTTAAAAAAAAATATTCTAAACAAAGTAATAATAAAAGTAAAAATTGTGCACCCCACCCCCAAGACCACAACCCATCGTAACTATCCAACCTCCCAAAATTTTAACACTTTTTGAGATGGTTTGATTCCTTTCTGTTTTAACAGTACAAATTCTACAAATAAGTTCAATATCTCCTCAAAATCATTTCTCCATATTCCCCATCTTACATTAATTTATCATTAATAGCTATATCCCCCACCTCTTTATACCATTCTTCCATCTTGCCCCTTCCACTTCGTAGCTATAACAACTCATGCCACTGTTAATAAATTTGTGAGCAAGTCCTTCATAGCCTACGTACATTCTACCCTGTCAAAAATTGATAACAATGGACTTTCAGCTTTAACCCTGTGATTTGTCTTATCTCCTTAAACACCCTGTGCCAAAATTTTTGTATGTATTTATACCCCCACCACATGTGAACATAAGTCTCAGTTTCCTGCCATCCCCTGCAACATAACACTGAATATTTGTTTATTTGATTTAATCTTGCTGGTGTTAAATACCACCTCCATATTAACTCATTGTAATTTTCTTTAAACCTTACAGACATCATTTTCAGAATGCATTTCTCCCATATTTTCCCCTAGCTGTGACGATTTACCTGACCTGTTACCTCCTTTTCTACACCTCTTTTAGTTGATCTTGTTAATCCTCCGATTCTACTAATATTTTTTATAAATTTTACTGGTTTCCCCTTTCCTCATCTCCCTTTTAAAATCATTTTTTAAAAAATTGTATGCTCTCTGCATTTCTTGTTTTCCCTTAACCACTTTGTCCATTGCTCCAGTTGTACACAGTTAAACCAAGTTATTTTACTTCATGTTAGAGCTCCTTTTTTGCTTCTCATTTTTTCCAGCCATTCCTTTATTTTGAATATTTTCTTCTCTTTTGCTTCTTTTTCAACTTCCTTATTTAAATTTACTAGGAAGTCTTCTATTTTAATGTTGTATTTTATTTTATTTTTGTTTTTAAGTTGTAATCATTCATCTTGTTTTTATTATTGCTTGTAAGCTGCTCTGAGCCCGACCTTGGCTGGGGAGGGCGGGGTATAAATAAAAACTTCTTCTTCTTATTATTATTATCATCATCACCACCAGAATTAGTGGGTAATTTACTGGTGTCAGTTTTCCTTTATATTTCGCCCATATCTCAATATGGGATTAATATCTTAATATCTTAATATGGGATTTTCAATATTCTGCCACTGTTGCCAATTTGGTTTGATAAAAAATATATTCTCAGCCAAATGAGCACCAAGTCAAATACTACTAGCAAATCACTTTCCTCAGGGCCATGACTTTGCTGCCACCTGTAGTTCTTGCTGTTGTTACTACTCATCTCTTGCTTACACTAAAAAGCAATTATAGGGAGGAAATCTGAAACATTCTATGGAGGTATCTGTGCTGCTGTTGCCAAGGAAGAATTCAAAGATGTAAAAAGATGCAAGATTATCATCTTGTTTTCTCATAGACAACTTGTACACATTATAGTTGAAACAAATGACACACGCCCATTTTGTTCACTGTGGAGTAATATGTATCTATGGCCTACCCAGCAGATTAGTTCATTGTTACTGTTTCTTGTGTTTTGTTGTTCACACTGCAAATAATTATTTAGCACACACTTAGATATTATGTATGTGAAATAGCCCATGTTTTTCATCTCATGCACTAGATTCCCATCTTCCCATCCCATCTGTCCCTGTCTCCCACACTGTAATAAGTTTACATAAATTTGGTCCTGGGGTATCTTATTAGTCTAGCAAAAAAAAATCTTTCCAAGGAAGATGCTTCAGAATCACGTGATTCTAAAGCCCACATTCTTTGTACAGTGGTACCTCAAGTTACAAATGCTTCAGGTTACAAACTCTGCTAACCTGGAAGAGTTACCTCGAGTTGATAACTTTGCCCCAGGATGAGAACGGAAATTGTGTGCCTGTGGCGCAGCGGCAACAAGAGGCCCCATTAGCGAAAGCACGTCTCTAGTTAAGAACAGTTTCAGGTTAAGGACAGGCCTCCGGAACAAATTAAGTTCGTAACTAGAGGTACCACTGTAACTGAAATAAAAGGTAAAGGGACCCCTGACCATTGGGTCCAGTCGTGGCCGACTCTGGGGTTGCGGCGCTCATCTCGCTTTAGTGGCCGAGGGAGCTGGCGTACAGCTTCAGGGTCATGTGGCCAGCATGACTAAGCCGCTTCTGGCGAACCAGAGCAGTGCACGGAAACGCCGTTTACCTTCCTGCCGGAGCAGTACCTATTTATCTACTTGCACTTTGATGTGCTTTCGAACTGCTAGGTTGGCAGGAGCAGGGACCGAGCAACGGGAGCTCACTCGGCCGCGGGGATTCGAACCGCTGAACTTCTGATCGGCAAGTCCTAGGCTCTGTGGTTTAACCCACAGCACCACCTGCATCCCTGAAATAAAAGGTAAAGGGACCCCTGACCATTAGGTCCAGTCATGACCGACTATGGGGTTGCAGCGCTCATTTCGCTTTATTGGCTGAGGGTGCCGGTGTACAGCTTCCGGGTCATGTGGCCAGCAAATACCTGGCTACAAATCCAAACTTGACTGCACAGCTGTGCAAAAAGTAGTCATTATGCTATGGCATCTTGTTATTAAACCATCCGTGAACAAGGCTTTAAATTAACATTATGAAAACAGAGCAGCATGCTCTCAGTGGACGGGGTTTCCTGGATCTGCACATCCAAGAACCGACTGCCCAAAGGCAGAACAGCTGCTGTACTACAAAGGTGTGAGTGTATCCTCAGATAGAACAGGCAGCCTATGGGACCCAAACTAACCCCTGATCTGCCAGAGGAATGTGGATTATTTTCAACCTTTGTGCATTAGCAAGGTAGTGTGTGAAGCATTAGTACAATGACAGAAAACTAGCACATGCCATTTGCAACTGAGCTTTAACACCTGCAACTACGGCTGAAAACTACCTACACATTACTTTGAAATATTGTGCTCATAAACCCAAAATATATATTATCCTGAGTAAGTAGTGTGTTTTTTAAAATTCACAACACCCCCCCCCCGGTAGCTAATACAGATTAAAAATAAACGGATGTTGGTTTTAGACAGGCTGGGGTAATAGACTAAAATAAGAAAGCCAACCACAAGACTGAATTATTTTTCAGCAACCTTTCTAAATGAAAAGCTGCATTTTAATGTCTCAGTTGGCACACTGCTTAGAAAGATAATTTATAGATGCCTTTGGAAAAGTAATTAAATACCTGAGAAGATTACAATGTTAACACCACAATAATGGTAACAGCTCCATAATGTGTTTAGCAGTTGCTACATCACCAGACACTGGGCTGCCCAAGTATTTAATGGTAACACAACTCAAGCACATTGCTGCACTGAAAAAAGACAGTGAAATGCGAATAGAAACTATGCCTATATATATATTTTTTAAATTAAGGGGGGGGTACTCACTATATTGTATTGCACTTCTGACAGATTATTATCAAAGAGCTGAGTGAGCACAGTTGCCAGAATATTTCAGTTCAACTTGTAGGTTAAAAAGGAATGTTGTCATTTTGGCTAAGATTAAAACACCACACAGGCCCTAGGAAGAGGCAGAGCTTTATGGGGAAGGCTGAGGACTAGAAAGAGATCACAGGAGACAGTTAAAACTAAGGGGTGGAGAGACCAGGGCAAGGTGGCCGGTGGAAGCAGGCAGCAAGGCAATAGAAGGAAAAAAGAGGAACCTGGGAAAACAGCTGGGAAGTGAGACTTGAGGAAAAGCAGAGAAACGGGAAGAAGGTTCCAGTGAGAAATATTACACCATACCACAGACAACATTTCAAGTTGCAATCTCCAAGTTTCCACTTAGCTGACACATACATTTCTCCTGGGGGGGGGGGGTGGACTAGGATGCATAACAGAGTTCTGAAGAAACAATGACTGCTGGAGCTGGAGGAGAAAGCGCAAATGGGAGCAAACCTCACAGAATAACAGGCTTTGCAAGCGCCTGTCTCATCAACAATGCAAGCAGATGCATGAAAGTAAGAGCTGTCATCTACTACTTATTTCAAAAGCACACTGTTGGAAGAGGGTGGTTTAAGTAGAGAATGCGCAGGGAAAGCCCCCCCCCCCCTCCATACCCTGCTTCTTCACTGAAAGATTTCTTTCTTTCAAGCTATTTCCAGTTTGTTTTCACACTCCACCCTCACAAACATGGATTCAGCACCACACAGACGCAGCAGCAGTTGGGGGTAGAGTGGCAGGCAGAGAAAGGCTAAAACAGCCCTCACACTGCTGCTTTTACCTAAACTGGCCCCCCTCAAGCTGTCCCCCCCCCCATTTTAAAGAAGCAGTGAATGTATCCACATGCAATGGTAATTTAATTCGAACAAAACTACAATGAACAGTAATGCAGGAAAGGAAGTTTGCCTGTTGTGGCTTCTCCTGAAACTGCAGTACTCAGCACCCTAGACGGGCGATGCCGGCCAGCAGACAGGGGGCCAAGGTGGTGAGCTGAAACCTCACCTACTGCTTTGGACCAGCCAGCTAATGGCAGGCTTCCAGGGAGAGTATTCTTGCTGCGCTAGAAGACAAGGGACACAAAACAGGTAAACCAATACATTTTCTTCAGTACCGTGTTGCACCTCTGGGGAGAACTTGCAAGCCTTTCAACTTTCCTTGGAGTCCATATCAAAAATACCCAAGAAAGGAAGAGCTCAGTCCAGACCAGAATCTTTCCTAAATATGGGGGCCTGTGCAAGGCCAAAACTTGGTGCCCCCAAAATGCATCTTCTCAATTTTGCAACCCCTTTGCTTGGCGCTCTGTGTGGGGCAACTGCCGGAACCATCCTAAATCCGGAGCTGCCCCCCACCTGCCAAGCTGCCTTCTCCCCCCAGAAGCTGGCCCTGCCGGGATGGAGACGGGAGCCTGGGGCTGGAGCGGAGGCTGGTCTACGGAGAGGTTGGCCAGATTGGGACCGGGGGGGTGCAGAACCCCCCGCCCCCCCCCCCCCCGGGCAGCTGCAAGGGGCGGGCGAGAGGCGGGGGCGGCCCAACTGGCCGCGTCTCCTCGGGGCGCCTCCGGGGAAGAATCCTGCCGCCGCTGGGGCCTCACAGCGGTCCGGGGGGGGCAGCAGAGCAGACCCCTCTGGCCCCGGGGGGGGCTGGCCAAAGGACCCCAAGGAAACCTCTGGAGTTTCTCGTCCGCGGTCTCGGGGGGGGGGGGCTGCTGACCCCGCTCCTCGCCAAGGGAGCCCCTCGCACGGAGCCTGGCTCGGGCCCCTCCGCCTCCAGCCGCCCCCCCGGAGAGCCGGGAAGCGAGCCGGATTCTTCCGCCGGCCCTACCCCGACCGCGCAGGCGCGTTGCAACGGCGGAGGCGGCCGCAGCAGCGGGGCGGGGCGGCGCCAAAGGGACGCGGGACGAAGGGTTTTCCAACGACACTACCGGCTCCCCGGCACAGTTTCCGGCGGGCGTGGAGGAGGGGCCGAAGGAGCCGGCGTTGGGCGCCGCTTTGTTTTAAAGGCTTGGAGGGGACCGCGTCAAAACACAAGATTAAAACACAAAATGCATAAGGAACACAAAAGCGGAATAAAACAAGAGCCGCCTCCCTCCCACCCCGCGATCCAAAGGATATGGGATGTTGCTCAGCCGAAGGCAGAAATGAAGAGAAAGGTTTTCACCTGGTATCTTAAGGTGCCTCGTGGAGGTACCAGGTGAGCCTCTCAGGGGAAAGCGTGCCTGTATAACTCTTTCCCTTGAAATAAGTGAAGGTGCAGCAATGGATCACAGAACTGTAGAGTTGGAAGGGACCCTGGGGTCATCTAGTCCAGCCCCTTCAAGGCAGGAACTGTTAAGTTGTGGGTGAACATATCAGACGACACAGCGATTCTTCAAACAGCTCTTGTTTATTCACAGGCCAGAACAGAACTGGGGGGTTCATCCAGCCTGCTTATATAGAGCTCCACTACAACGCAACAGTAACCACTTTCTGTAACTATCCAATCACTGAACGTCACATTCAATCCCTTATTTGCATATGTGGACCTGAGTGAAAACTATCTACAGTGAGTGAAAACTATTGCATATGTGGACCTGAGTGAAAACTACCCTGCTGGCCCAGGGTGAGAACTTCAGTACACAACATTGTGGAGAAAGGCCTGTGAATAAAATACCTACTTCTCATTAAAAAAGAAGACTGCTATGGCTTCTAAACCTTGGGTTATAGAGTATTCACTGGCTGTGGGTCATGATGTTTGCATCTTGCACCGGTTTGTTGGCTGATTGTGAATGCCTGTAAACCACACTGCTTTCCTCCTCCTCCTTTCAGGCATCCTGACAGTTCTGGGGAATTCAGCTGTCCTGGCAGTCGCTGTGAAGCGCTCCTCCCATCTCAGGTCACCTGAGCTCCTGGCGGTTAATTTGGCCCTAACCGATCTTGGACTGGCCATCAGCATGACCCTCGGATTAAGAGTCTCAGGCTCTACTGACTGAGCTGGGAACCCATTCCAATTTGCAACCTGGTTTTAAGAGCGTTGGGGTGAGTGACAAGCCCCACTTTGGGAGCCCCAAAATGGTGAAAGCAAAAACTCCATTAGTATTTTGGTGGTGGAAAAGGTTTTGCGCCTTTAAAGGCTGTTTAAACAGAAAATGAACAGCTTCAACCCTCCGTGGAGGAGACTCAGGCTATGTACAAACAATATATTTGAAGCACATTTCCAGTCCATTTCTCCCGCTTGAAGAATTCCGGGCACTGCTGCTGGGAATTGTAGTTCTGCGAGGGGAAAACTACAATGCCCAGAATTCTTTGAGGCAAAGAATGTGCTTCCAATGTGCTTTAAAATACAGTGTTTATACGTAATTGGCTTGAATTTCTGCCTGTTTTAAATGCCTTTTAACAAAGCTATTCACGCAGTTCCCTTTTAACATACCTCCCTTACTATCTTTTAAAAAGATTTATCCGTAATCATAATCTCTCTTTTCTCCTTCTATCCTGAAAAACCATATTAAAACCCTTGGGCGGCAGGGAGGGCAACATATAAAATCATTTATAAAAAACAAAAATCGCCCATTTCTATTCAAGCGACCAGAGCGGAAGCAGGATCTTGCACTGAACGTCCCTTGGTATGTCATCATAGTCAAAAGCGCAATGCAGAGCAATGCAGAAGCATCTGCAAACCTGCCCTGATTTATTGACAGTTCCCCCATGTTTCCCCACCCTTCTTAACCTGCATGTGGAAATTTCTGATCAGAACCGGAAGTGTGCAGTTGTCTAGAGCTCTCCGTCTGTCTTCTCTATGGTGGGAGGAGGAGTTCTGTCTTTCTGCTTGCTCTCCCCAGCACTGCTGAGTGTGTGGCGCCCTCAGAGGCACTATTGATTTTCAGGACTCCTGTAATAAGATGCAGACTCGGAGTAAGGGAGGCTCTGACACTTTTGACCCACCAAACATCTGCTGTTGAAAAAGCAGTCAGCTTTTTGAGTTATGAAAAGTTAGAAGGATCATGGGCAGCCCCATACGACACAAGCTGTTACTCTAAAGTAAATTCTGCTGAATTCAGTGTGGAACCCACTTGCAAACAAATGAACACAGAACTGAGGCCTTAGGCTTAACACACCTGCTTAAATTTGTGAAAGTCAAAAGTGGCTAAATAAATGGTGAAAACTTGGCTTCTATCATCTAAAGTTGGTTGAAAGGACAACCTGTTGTGTTCTTTATGAAGAGATGGATACAAAATACTAAAGAGTATTATCTTCCCAAGTGATGCAGCCTTGGCCGCTCAGAGCGAGGTTAACCTTTCCAGACCCTTTATTTCCCTGGCAGATACTTGGGCTAGAAACTCCCTTACGCCAACTAGAATGAGATGGCTGTAGCTGTAAGCAACTGGCATCTTGGAGCAGGCACAGAGTATGCCACCTGGCAATCCCAGTGGATAGGAGAGGCTTGCTGCCCATCAGCTGTCATCCTCTTATGACAGGCTGCCATTCCTCAAGTACTTGAGGAAACTGGCACCAGGGGAGCTTGAGAACATAAGAAGCATAGAACTGTAGAGCCGGAAGGGACCCAGCCGATCATCTAGTCCAACCCCCTGCAATGCAGGAATATATGGCTGGCCCATCTGGGGATCAATCCTGCCACCGTGGCAATTTATTTGTTAAGAGGATGGGGGAAAGGGAACAGTTCTTCATAAAGATCAGAATAAATGGGGCTGAAATTGCGTCCTTGAAAGCACCATCCTGGATTTGGAAAACTGATACCAGGAGCCATGGGTGCAAACAGCATTTATTGTGGGGCAGGCTTTATTTTGGAGGCTAAGGGCAAAGCCGAGTTATCTGTGGCACAATTGGTCAGTTAGTTCAGTATTTTTATTGATTTACTTGATTTAGAGGGGGCAGCTCCCTCCCCTCGCCTCCCTGGCTACGCCCATGCCAGGAGCCTGACACATCGTCTTGGGTGTGGTGATGCTTTCAAGAAAGCAATCCCCAATATTCATTTTCTTTCGTTTTATGAACTGGTTTTATAATGTGGTTTGGTTTTATAATGTGTTAAAGAAAGCAATACTATTTTGCTATCATCATAATAGCTTCTACGGATAAATTTGACTAAGAAAACTTAGTCACGTCCCTTAAGAGGAGCAGGGCTTGTGGCTGCTGGTTTTCTCAGGGACCAGGGGTGCCACATTGCAAGGTTCATTGTGACATCTCCCTCTGCTGGCTCATTGGTCGCCAGAGCTCTAGAAGGCCTGGGATCTCCTATGCTTGGATCATTCTGTGCTTGTGAGAGTAGAGAGAGCATGTAAGTAGGATTTCTTTCAGCATATCGGACCCTCTTAATTGAGGGTCCGCGTTGAGCACAGGCCATAGTTGCAGCCCCCCTTCCTTGGGAGTGGTGGTATGATCGAGGGGGGGGCTTTAAAAGGCAGCGGCGCGGCATTGGGGGGGGTTACCTGGGTTTGCGCTGCCAAACACCTGCCCGCCCACCCTCAATTTAGGTTTGTGCTTTGGCCTTGCTCTGGACTTTGGTTGGTCGCCCGTTTTGGAACAGGGGCCGGGTAGGAATTTTTTCCATTTGGCAAATTGGTACTGGCCTCTTGGTTTTTTCCTACCTCTTAGCAATTGTCACAACTTTGTAAGATTTGGCGGTAAGGCACTGGCTTAGTGAAATGTGGGGGAGGGGAGGGGCGGCCATCACCTGCCCCTCCAGGTACAAGGGTATTCCGCTAAAGGAATCCGCAGGTCCAGATCTCGTCCAAAGTCTGCTTGGGAGGCTAGGGCCATGCCAGGACCCAGCGGGAACCCCGGGGTGAGTTTCAGTTGGTCGCCATTGATGGCGCTCCCTCTGTTGGTGGTTTACTCTTCCAGACTTCCTGCAAGGTGGGCAGGAATCAGATATAGTTATTGCCAATGCCTAAGCCAGGCATGCCCAAAGTCTGTTTCGGGGGCCTAATTTGCAAGTAAAGTATGGATTAACCAGTGAAACACAATGGCAATACATCCAATTGAAACATATGTTGGAAAGGCAGTTTGGCCCTGAGGCTATAGCAGCATCGGAAACACCCATGTTGCTACAAGATTTAATCTCTGCAGCAAAAACAAAAAACTCTACACTTGCACTACATAAAACTCTACTCAACAGGAAGAAATATGATTTAGAATACAATAGACAAAAATGGAGTGAAGAGTTAGGGGTACAGATAACAAATAATATATGGGAGTCAAGTATAAAATCAACAGAAATAGCCTCTGCAGATCTAAGACTAAGACATTCAGCAGAAAATAATATTCAGAGTCCACTGGACTCCAGCAAAACTATACGAGAAGAAAATAACAAGTACAGACAACTGCTGGAGATGTGGGAGTAAAAATGCGAACTTAGTACATATGATGATTAAATGCCCGATAATAAGATAATTTTGGTGTGAGGTGAGGATATTTATAGCAAGAGTAATAAAAAGAAATTGTTATTTAGCGGAATTAAGTTTAATTCTAAATTATATTCTGGAAACGTGGGAGATTACAAGGGGTCAAAACAAATGGATGTACCGTGCTATATTAAAAGCAAAAAAACTTGTTTTGATGATTTGGAAGAGCCGCAAAAAGATTCCATTGAGCACATGAATTGATAATATGGACAGACTAGCTACATACAAACAAATTGCATGTCGACGCAAATTAAGAATGGATAAATATGAAGAAATCTGGAAGGAATGTTTAAGCGATAAGGTGGATAATGGTGGGAAGTAGGGGGAGGAGAGAGAGGCGGGAAAATATTGTTAAAAAGGTGTAGTCATAGGTATATCAGTGTATCCAAATCTGAATTGTCAATCTGTGTAATTAGTGTTATTATGGTTTTTGTTGTATGTGTGCCCAAAGTCCGTTTCGGGGGCCTATTTCCTGGGGTAAAATCACTGGAAAAACCCTCAACAATTAAACCCAATACCACTCACATTGCTGTCCTCAATAAAGTTGTGGCCTAAATTTTGCCCATTAACCTTCAGAGTCAAGTTCTGCCTCAAGGTGTTCTCCTTCTTCTTGGGGGTGCGCAACTGAATTCTGTGGTGATCGTGAGCTTAGAGGCGTGAATGCAAAAAGCAGTTTTGGGCGTAGATCAGGAGAGGACGAACTGTGAGCCCCATTTCTCACATTTTCCTCTTTCTTTTCTAGGTTTACCAGATTGCGAAAAGCCATTTCGCGGATGGCGAGGAAAAATAAGGTGTGCCCTCTCCCTGAGTCCCCCCCCCCGCCTGCCCCTTTTCGAAAGGACTTCTCAGGAAAGGCCTCTGTCTGAGGCCTCTTTGGAGCTGTAGATCATCATATCCCACGTGGCTCTTTGTTTCCCTGTAGGCTCAGGCAAAAGAGAAGGAAAGTCCGCCTGAAGGTCATGTCTCTTTCTATGGGTGTGTTCAGAAAGTCTCTCTAACCAGCAGCCTTCTCTTCTTTTCCCTTTCAGCAGATCTCATCCTGGAAGACCTGGAGGAAGAGGAGGAAGAGACGGGGCTGCACTGGGGAACCTTAATCAATCGTTAACGGTTCTTGGCTGTTGTCAAGTTGTGCTTCGGTGTCTTTCCTTGAAGCTTGCGGAGACGACGTGGTGGCGCAGCCTTGTCTCGCTGCCTCTCAGCAGGCGCCGCCCCAGGCCAAGGCCGTTTGCTGGGCCCAGCCGTGGAAGCAGCCCCTGCCAGGCATTGGGGGAAGGCTGTGGTCCAGAGCATCTCTCCCAGGCTGGTGGGGGTCCAGGGGTGGGACTAGAGAGAGGTTTGGGATGGGGAGAGGCATTCAGCTGTGAACCTCGCTAGGGGAAGTCAGTCTCTCAGCCTGATTTCCTTCACTGAGGGGCAAAGGGGTGGGGATTAGGAAGCTAAGGAAAACCAGAAGAAAAAGACAACCGTTTTTTAAATAAAACCTGAATATATATCTAAGGCAGGAGGGAAGCCAGAAGCAGCCACAACATTTTCTTCGTATTTTAGATTTTTGTACACAGCTTTGTGGGCCTCGGGCTTTTAAGCAATTTATAAATTTGTAAAATAAATTTTTATAAAATTATTTGCACCTATTGTTTCAATTTCCTGCTCGCACCAAAGGTAACTATCAGAATATATTGTACTAGGATGATTTTACAGATTCCCGAGTTGGAAGATGTCATCGGTAGGCGGCAATGTTCCCCTCTGTACTCTACTTTCTGGGCACCCGGTAGCAGCCTTCAGCGGCGCATGCTGGTGCCTAGTGTTTTGTTGCCGCTCTTCTCTGTGAAAACAGAAGCCTGGGTCCGCATGCAGTGTTAGCTTTTGTGCATTCTTCTTTCCCATTTGGTTTGACACTTCCTTTGCTTTCTCTTCCTAGACACCCCGTGAAGTGGCCCAGCAGGCGGTAGATGCGGATGTGCATTGCGTGGGGCACTGCGTGCACCTTGGCTGCTGGCCACAAAACGGCTTGTCCCTTAGCCGCCCAGACCTTCTCCTCATGTGTGGAGGCGTCATCCCTCCCCAGGTACTGTGCACCACCTAGTGCTAATCCAAAGATGGCTTGTTGTGAGAAGATTAAATTGTTCCCAGTGAGGTGGGGTCTCCATCTACTTTTTCCTCCTCCTCCTCCAGGCAAATGAACACCATTGAAAGGCTTTTAAAATAGCATCTAGCTTTTGAAATGTGGAAATCCTTCAGCAAATTTTGGAAAGCATTGTAGTTTCTAGGCTTAGGGTTCAAAGAACAACGCAGTTGAGAAGCAGCCTCCCAAAAGCTTTCGAAAACTGTCAATAGAATCAAATAATTTAAAAGTCACTTTTTAAATTTAAAAATATTCGTAAACATTTTAAGAAATGAAGAAAAAAGGGACCAGTTTCCTTTACTGAAATAGAAAATATATAATTTTTTTTCCTTCCAGAATTTGCTTTTTTTCCGGGGAGTGGGGGTGGGGTGGGGTTATAAACAAGAATAATGTTATACAAATGAGTATACTGTACCAAGTAGTCTTATGTCATTTGTATATCACAAAAATAGCATAATAAATGTGGAAATATATCTACAACATATTTTTCATTATTAGTGGTCAATGTAGAAGTTCTTGGTTCATGAATTGGTTTAAATAGTTAGGAAGAAGAAGGGAAGAAAGGGCTGGAGGGGGGAATGGCGAGTGGAGTGGGGTAGAATTTGCTTTTCTGTTTTGAATCTCTTGACCTTGGTATAATTGTTGCACCTGGCAAAAGATTCGTATAGAGCCACAAGTCTCTGGTTGTCTTGGAGCAGAGGTGAAAATGTTCACCACTTTTGATGATTTCATTCTTTATGTTACATAGGATAACACCTAGAGCAGAGATTGCTTGAACCTGTAGTCACTGGGACTTTGCACACATGGCGGGGTTTGCGTAGGCGAGAGCATCACTGTTTCCCCCCATAGCTAGCATACCAAGTTATTTCCCCTTCTCCATGTGTGCTACCTCCTGACCTGCCATCGCTAAACTCTGCTCTTTTAGCATGTGTTCTGCAGAATTTTACTTTACAAAGTCTGCATGCATGTTTTATGTCTGTTTTTCTCCTGCGCAGGATTATGACTTCTTGTATGCCTCTGGTGTTTCCAAAATATTTGGCCCTGGAACCTGAATCCCAAAGGTAGCTGTCCAAGTTCTTGATGATATTGAGAAATACTTGGAAATGAGGCAGCAATCTCTGTAAACCTCTGTCTCATAACAAACTTTATATCTTATAGTTTGTGTTAATGCATTGTGATTTGTTGATAAAATTGTTAAATCATCTACAATGTCTGGTGTTGCCTTATGCTTTCTAAGAAAGTGGGAAATCATCTGCAATATTATTACATATGTATGTAAGATCTATCAAAGAATCTAAATGAAATGAGTAAATTTAAAATTTTTGCATATAAGACTGCATTATATCTGAAATACACTTCAGATCTTTGGAAATGCAAATTACAATTTAAAATAAATGTTACTGATACAGAAAGGTGGTGAAATTATGTCCTGCTGTTTCATACTGTTTGTTCACATGCCTTGCCCTTTCGGTCCAGTCTCGTTGCCCTAGCTTTGTTTGCTTGTCAGATTGACAAATATTCATTTCCTACCCCTGGTAGTCTGCCTCAGGCACGGGCAACCTTTGGCCCTCCAGATGTTTTGGCCTACAACTCCCATGATCCCTAGCTAACAGGACCAGTGGTCAAGGATGATGGGAATTGTAGCCCAAACATCTGGAGGGCCGAAGGTTGCCTATGCCTGGTCTACCTTTTTCTTTTCCTACTCAATAGCCTCTGTAGAGTCTGAAGTTGGTGGCCTTACGGGAGATATGGGCGGTTTCCAGTTCTGTGACCTCACAAATCCATTACTGAGATGACATGCACAAGACGGATAGAGCGACCCTTTTATGAAAAGTCCATTTTTTGTAAGGTTCTTGCTCAACAGCCTTAATAGAAGCATTGAAGGGGGAGGTGTTAACAGCCCATTAAGCAAAGGTCTTTTCTTATTCTTCAAGACACCTGTGCCTCTTGAGACTCCATCATTGACACCTGAGCTCAGCATCCCATACAGTCCAACAAAAGCACAAAAACAAATGCCAAGTTCACTAACATTACAATCTCTTTTAACTGCCTAAATACCTCCTCTGCCAGCTATTAATATAGCAAACTCTAATTTAGTCCATGTGCTCACAATTCCTTGAGATTCCTCAGTTCTTGCCGGCAGGTCTTTTTTTTTAAAGAACAGAGACCTTGGAATTATCCTGCAAGCAGTTTATTATAAACTTCCTAGGAATTACTGCCCTTGCAGTGTTTCCCTGGGAGATTTCATGATCTGGACTTTAGAGCAACGTTTTCAAATAAGACTTCTGCAGCTGCAGCAGATGGATTTGGAACTTCTCCACTGTCTGTCTTTCTGAATGAAGAAATGTGCGCGTTATCCCTTCCTGACCAAATCACTGACACATGGCTATTGGTATGCTTGGTGCTAAAGTAAACTTTCTGACTACAGCAGCACTGGAGGCGCTTAATTTCACGCCGGAAAGTTTTGCTGAAAGCATAGTAAATGAAAGGGTTGTAGGCTGTTGAGGATTTAGCAAAAAGACATGGCAACAAGGTAACGATGGGTGGTATTGATTCACTGGAGTGAAATATTGACCAGAAGCTGACTGCGGCATATGGTGTCCATGCGCTGAGGAATCCCACACTGATCAGTACAGCCATCTGTAAAAACAACCACTTATAGTTAGTTACTGGCTGGCTTTTTATATTTTCTCCTTCTCTATCTGTTATTTCGAATCGGTGAGAGAGAAATGAAGGATTAGTGCTTTAACATTTAAGAGATATTTAAACAATTGGCTCTTGCATTCATTTTAGGCTGTCCATTTTATCCTAAGACCGAAAAGCAGTATCCTCTGCAGTACAGCAGCCCTCTAGCGGTAAAAAATAACACAAGATCAGGATAAGAAATTAAGAACAGCATCCTTTGTGTTTATCAGATGCTTTACATCATAATGGAATGTCACCTGTCATACAATAGCAATATATATATACCACATGCTTCCTCTATGAGCCCATGTATTGCAAGATCTGAGAGTCTGACAATATACAGGTTCATCATTAAGTTAGTCCCCAGTATGTATGTGGCTGGGAAAACCCAACCAGATGGGTGGGGAATAAATATTTATTTATTTATAATATTAATATTATTTCTCGTTAATACAATAAGCTTTCATACCAATGAATCTAACAACTGAAAAACAGAGGAGTTGCTCAATGTCTGCAACTCAAATGGAACACAAACCATACATGAAGGCAAACACACACAAACAGCCCAGTCCATAGCATCCATAAGTGCTTTGGCATTTCCCCAATATTTTGACAATAATTTTCAATCTGTAAGGACAGAATCAATGTCTGAGTCAAAGGAACACTGTGTTCCTATTGCTCTTTAAAATACAAAAATACTCTGCTCACAACAAGACATACCCACCAATGTCAATTTCTTCTCCAGCTTTGCTGCATTTGAAGTCCTGTTGAAGTTCTGCATCTTTTGATAGGTTTTATGAACCTTCCAGGCTATACCCAAGTAACAGATGGTGATGGTAATTGCTGGCAGAAAGGTACACAGAATGAACATGCTCAGAATAAAGGAAAGCCCATTAGCCGAGTTGTGGAACTGGCTCCAGGCTATGGTGCAGGAAGTGCCAAATGGTTCTGGGCCGTAATGCCCCCAGCCTAGCAGAGGCAACATGGCCCAGAGGGCTGCATACAGCCAGATCAAGGCAATAGAAACATGGATGACTTTTCTGTTGATTGTATTACCTAGGAAAAGAAAAGAAAGTAGACTATAGATACCAACACTATTTGAAGAGCATAGAAATCTGCCAGGCAATTATCCCTGTCACTCTGTTGTCCAGCTTTCCTGGGTTTCAGACTTCCCAGGTTCTATTTGGAGATGGCAAGGACTGAGCATGGGATCTTCTGCATGCCCTGTAAGCCATGACCCTTTGCTCAGGCTGTGGAGACATTATGTACATGATCTCCGTCAAAAATAACTGTTTGAGTTATGGCTATATAGACATACTTTAGAACACACTTGTCTAGTGTGATACTTTTATGTATATTGCCTGACAACATTTATAGGCCTCCTTAAAGCATTCTCAGGGAAGCTTAAGATATTTCCATTGGTCACCAGATGTGGTTAACTGTCTTTGGCTAGTAGCAGAGGTACACAGCCAATGTAAACAAGAACAGTGTTTTTCACACCAGGACCATAGTGCCAACTCCTACATGGTATTATGCATTTCAATTTACAGCTCAAAACATGTTTACGGCCAGACTGTATATCCGCCCCCATTGTTTACTGCAGTAATGCTGAATATATCTGATCTATAAACACACAGAAAAGGTCTGATAGGCTCTTTAAAATATTATTCCCTTGGCCTTGACATGAAGTCTGAAGCTTTGAAATTGTTTCACCTTTGCCACCCTTCTGTGCTTTGTTACTCACTATTGGACTTTGAAGAGTGGGTTACAAGAAAGCGGATTACAGCCATCACAGACAAGGTCATCATGCTGGCGACACCAAACAGGAAACCCATCAGGGCATAATAAATGCAAGTTGCATCGCCCCCCAGCCAGGCATGGTTCCAGGCAGAAGCAATAGCCAGGGGATACATGCTGATGGCCATTCCAAGATCGGTTACGGCCAAATTAACCGTCAGGAGCTCAGGTGACCTGAGATGGGAGGAGCGCTTCACAGCTACTGCCAGGACAGCTGAATTCCCCAGAACTGTCAGGATGCCTGGAAGATGGAGGAGGAAAGCAGTGTGGTTTACAGGCATTCATAATCAGTCAACAAACCGGTGCAAGATACTCAAAACTCAAAGTTTAGAAGCCATAGCATCTTCTTTTTTAACGAGAAGTAGGTATTTTATTCACAGGCCTTTCTCCACAATAGGTAATGTGTTACCCAAAGTAACATGAAACAGCTTGTGAATTTATATCAGTGGATTTGTGACTGAAGGACAGGTAAGGGTCAGAACAAAAGTGGATTCTGTTTCAGCCACCAATCAGTCACTTTCTAGCATCTAGTCTTGATACCTGTGGTATGCTCTCTTCAACACTGTAGAGTTGTTATCTTGACATTGTAAAAGGTGAATTGAAATGTGCATCCAAAAGAAAATGTTGGTGGGGTCGCCTGCCATTCCACAGCATAGCAATCCCTAGAGTAGTAAGACGTGCGGCAGGAGAGAAGGCTGTCCAGTCCTGACACCCTTGTTGGTGCAAACTCTGTGCTCAATAGCAGATTTTCAGACAAGACAAAATGGGTGGAAGTGATCGGGAATATGGTTCTGGACACTCTCAAGCTTATGATTCCGTGGGTCTCAACGTTCAAGCTCTCTCCCTCCTCCACCTCGAAACCTTGATAGCCATGGCTCGAGGTTTCATGGCCTCAGTGAAAACTATTAAGTAGCATGTGCACTCACCTGGTCAAATTATTGATCTAGGCTGTATTCCTACACACAGTTACCTGAAAGTAAGTCACAATGAAGTCATCTAGCCTTACATTTCAGGATTGCACTGCCAGTTTGTTGTCAGCTCTGGACACAAAGTTGTCCTGAGCACCTTGAAAGAAGGATTAAAAGAAAGGGTGGTGTCCAGAGAAGTAGTTGCACTAGCACTAGAACTTCTGTTTGTGTACAGAACAACCCTTGCTGCTTCTCTCCTTGTGCCGCTCCACAGGTCTGCTCCAGAGGGTGAACAACAGAAAATAAGATGGAACCCTTTCATGTGAAGAGAACATCTTGTTAAGGGCCACCCCAATCTCTGCCAAGTGGTGTGAGGTTCCAGGAGTCTTCACCCTCAACCAGGGTTCATGATTCTTTTGGAAAAATGAGGCGCAGCGGAGTCTTTAAGATAATATGGTTTTACTTACACATATATACACCTTAACCTTGATGGAGGGAGTGCAGAGGGTGAATGTAATTTTGCCAACCTTTCAGGGCAAAGTATTCCCATTATAGCTTTCAAAAACTAGCTTATGACCACAATATCTAGTGATGGCTTCGATAGTGGAGGGGACCATTGCAGCCACCGCAGATAAAAGCTTTCATATGACCTTTTCAGTCTCTGCACTCATTTCACAAGTCTGTGCCAACTCATCCAACAGAGATTCAGACACCATTAGGAGAATGTGTGAGGGGATCCATGTAGGATACTTGCACCTCAGCATGCCTCATGCTCATGCCCCTGTCCACAAACTTTGCTGCACATAGAAATCCTTCACCCACTAGCTGTCACCATCAAAAATATTATGTGCATTTATCTCAAAATGCTTATGAGCTTCAGCTGACTTTCATCTGCAACCTCCTTCCAAACAGCATATTCTGCAAAACTCCATCCATCTATAGGAGCCTTTGCCACCATGGAGCAACCTCCAGATATTTTGGATTACAGTAGCAGTGCTGGCTGCAACTAGTGGGAGTTACAGTCCAAAATTATTATTATTATTTATTAAATTTGCTAGTTGCTTTTTCTTGCCCAAAGCAAGCTACTAACTAACTAACTAACAAAAAACCCCCACGTAGGTACATTAAAACCAAGCAGGGAAAGAAAAACATTTTTGAGGGCACGTGACTGATGAAGGCTGATTTAAACTAAATTTTGAATGAGCTGCTAAATCATGTACTGTATGTGTCTTTCTGTAATGCATGAAACAGTCAAATATGCAACTCAGAAATTATTCAGTTTCCAGAAAAAAACTAATAATAAAAAACTTTAAAAACCCTATATCCACACTCAAACCACACATCCTCCAACCCCTCTGAAGACAAAATAACATTACACCATAGTACCAAAACAAGAGAGAAGCAACTGTACTTTATAGCAATAAACAGTCAAACATGGAGACCTCACTGCTGCTTACACTATAAGTCCTCTAAATACGCAGTCCTGAATGAGCAGAAAGGCAGGACTTACCTATAATCAAAAGAAACACCCCTGCTCCATAATCCCCTGTGGGGTGCAGTTTGGAGATGTAGTGCTCTTCCATGTTCCGTTGTGGAGATGGAGAAAGTTCTGAAGCCAAGGGAAGCAGGGCGGTGGGGAGGAGAGGCAACTCCTTAGCTTGGCTGCTGGGCAGACAGGGACAGTGAGGACAGTCCCTGAGAAGGAAAAAACCCACCACTTTCGACGCTGGTCCCTCTGTCATGCGTTGTGGCGCATTTTAGGAGACAGGAGCTGGGGGCAACATTCTCCACTTCTGAGAGGCACAGAAGGAAAATCAGGCAGTGTCTGCTGCTGACTCACAGCTGGCTGGCTTATAAAGTTTCCCCCCAGCCTCTCTTTTCCTCCTCCTCCCTTTCCAGTACTTTGCTGTCAAACCTTTCCTTCTCAGTGCAAACTCCCTTGCTACATATTCAGTGGCAAAAACCTATTAGGTAAGGAGAAATGTGACTAACAAACAACTAAGCTGGGGTTGGGTTAGAGAGAGGCGGGTTCAACTCCCTACTCAACCACAGAGCTCACTGGGTGTCCCTTGGGCCAGTCTCTCTCTCAGCCATCTTGACTTTTCTGAGTTATTGTGAGGCTAAAGGGGTGGGGGACTTTGTATGCTGCCCAATGCACCTTTGAGGAAAGGAGATAAAGGTTGTAACTAGACTAAACACATAACTGGGTTTTAACTAAGAGTTTACTAGATCATGCCCCATTGCATGAAGCAGACTAGTAGGGACAGCCTTACATGCAATTAGATTGGTTTGAAAAGCTGTTAAAATGCAAATGAGTAAAAGGTGGGTTCATTTTAAACATTATTACCTATTAGGTAAGGAGAAAATGTGACTAACAAACAACTAAGTTGGTGTTGGATTAGTGAGGTAAGGGTAAAGGGACCTCTGACCATTAGGTCCAGTCGTGACCGACTCTGGGGTGGCGGCGCTCATCTTGCTTTATTGGCCGAGGGAGCTTCCGGGTCATGTGGCCAGCATGACAAAGCCACTTCGGGCGAACCAGAGCAGCGCACGGAAATGCAGTTTACCTTCCCGCTGGAGTGGTTCCTATTTATCTACTTGCACTTTGACATGCTTTCGAACTACTAGGTGGGCAGGGGCAGGGACTGAGCAACGGGAGCTCACCCTGTTGCGGGGATTCGAACCGCCGACCTTCTGATGTGCAAGTGCTAGGCTCTGTGGTTTAACCCACAGCGCCACCCGCATCCCTGGGTTAGAGAGAGGCGGGTTCAAATCCCCAGGATTTCAGGCAGCAGTTTTCTCCCAGCCCTACTTGGAGATGGCAGGGATTGAATAGGGAGCTTCTGCATGCAAAGTGATGCTCTGACACTCAGCTATGCCCCATTCTCCCTGCACCCCTCCAAATCTGTCTGTTACATTAATTCTTATGCTGTATTGAACTTGACATGCTTTTTTGTTTATCTAGCAGCTTAATGGATTTTGGAAAGCAAGCAACGTCTATAAATAGGCGGCGGGAAATAAGGTAGTTAGGAAGATGCAAAAGATTCTTTCCAAAACAGTTGCACAAGCACATTCACATGAACATTCACAAGACTTTGAATTCTTCACGAGGAATGTGACAAACAAGAAAGTATTATTTAGACTAGCATTCATGCAGAATGAATTTTAGAAGGATGGCAAACACAATCAATGGGATTTTGTGTTTTACACATTCCATCTTGACCTCTTTACCCAACTCAAAGCTATTCCTACAGAAAGCCTCAGAGCAGCAGCCAAAGTTAAAACGCAACACAACACAAGGTATCCTGGTTATATGATGAACTGTCATTTTTAATGGAGTAATGAAGCCATTTAAGGATCATCACAAAACACAGAAGGAAACTGTGCATGGAACAGAGAGAGAGATTTGCCAGCTTACATTGAATTGTGTGCAATGAATGTCAAACTGCATCTCTTCATTCTTTAGCAAGGATGTTGTGGCAGTTTTTCAGTAAGATGCTGAGCAGGAGAACCTTTGATTGCTATTGTGAGGGATTCTCTCGCTTTCCACTCCCAAAACCAGCCCTAAAAGACAGTGGTACTTACGGTAAGTGCTCTCCTCATGCTACTGGGGAACTTCCCTGGAGCAGCAAATTGCAAATACAGTGGTACCTTGGTTTGCAACCGTTTTTGATTACAGTGCAACCGATTTGGATTACAACCACGTCAAACCCTGAAGTGTGTGTCCCTTTTTTGGGATTACAACCAATGGGGGGGGGGACCCCATTGGCAAAAGCACACCTTGGGTTACAACCTGTTTCGGTTTACAACCAGACCTCCGGAACAGATTATGGTTGTAAACCAAGGTATCACTGTAGACTGGAATAATCTAGTTCAACTATCTGTTTCCCGTCCTGCCCAGTGAGATGCTCACAGGACTCTTCAGGCGACCTGTTTATTGAGCATGCATCCTGAGATGCTTGCACAAAGCTTACGTGGACTCTGTCCAGTCTTTTCTGGGCATTTGTTCCGATTTGCTTATGGGGCAGTTATACAACAATGAGCATTCATCCTGATTTGCATGTGGGACATTGTCAAAGGAGCTTCTCAGCCAAAGGAACGCAAAAGGCAGAGAGCTCTTTATTGTGAAAGAAAATACCATACTTTTCCATATATAAGATTATGTTTTTCTCTGTAAAAATAATGCTAAAAAATGGGGGTCATCTTCTACATGGGTAGTTCATAGGGTGGACGTTTGACTGGTTGCTTCCATGGCTGTCAGCGGCTATTGTGCGTGTTATTGGTTTCTGCGTCAATGGGTGGTGTTGATTGGCTGACGCTCCTGCAGTTGGGTGGGCGATTGGCAGCTTCTGCTGGCGATGGGACAGACGGGAGGTGGATTTTGCGATGTGTGTGGGTGATCAATTTTCGGCAATCCCCCCCCCAAAAAGCTCAACAACCCTGGATATTCCCCCCCAGCTCAATAACTCTTGACTATCTTCCGCAGAAAGCTCAACAACTCTGTGCCATCTCCCCCCATTTTCTTAAATTTGAGTCCCACAAAATAGGGGTAGTCTTATACACAGAAAAGTACGGTACAGTAATTATAGTCACTTCTGTAGCTCTAGATACCTATGCACAGCAATTGAGCGTCTAGGCAGCTATTCTCAGCTCCGCACTCTGGCTCAGTTGCAGTAGCTGGGGACCACTTGCCCTCTACCCCTCCAGGTTGCACACATGTAGCCAGAGGAATTTGTTTCTGCTTTTCCTGCCTCAATTTTTTCCTGGTTCTGGGAGACACTGGTGCAAGGGAAGGTGGGGAAGCTCCAGGCCCTTCACTTGCCCGGCCTGCCTCTTCCTCCTCTTCCTCCAGCTCTGAAGCTCCCCTGCCTCTGATTCTTGCCTGCTGGTTGGTACAGGTCCCCACAGACCACTGCCCCCTCTGCCAAATCAGACTCTAGCCCCACTTCCCCCAGTGCACACTTGACATCCTTGCTTGTCAGCATCCTGCCCGCCTTTGGTAAACATTTCTACACCTTCCCATTCATCATTCCTTCAGCCCACTCTTTTCTCTGCTTTCCCCTGCAAAAAGTTTTTTCTTTTTCAAAGTGGATTTGTTGCCCTAGAGCAACAGTTTTATTTATTTGCAATATTTTTAACCACCTTCCCACCATATGTGCACAAGATGACTTACAATGGAAACATATAAACAAAACACTAAAGCAATAATAAATTAACATAAGAAGAGCCCATCTGCTCCAGCCCCTTGCTCCCACTGTGGCTGACCTGATGCCTGTGAGAGACCTGCAAGCTGGCCCAAGACATTTCGGCACCTGAGGTGGAGCCCCAAATGCCCTGCTCCCCACCACGGAAGAAGCGGGCCAGGGAAGATGTGCATCAGGAACAAGGGAGGGGAAGAGGAATGACCTTGGGATCTGCTGCCCTGGGCGGACCCTGCCACCTGAGGCCGTTGCCTCGCCTCGTCTCATGCGCAGGCCAGCCCATAAGCCCATAAGCGGGATTTGAGCACAAGCGCCCTCGCCCCTCCTGTTTCTGACTGTGGAGGTAGAGCAGAGCCATCATGGTTAATAGTCTACTCCATGAATTTGTCTAATCCTCTTTTAAAACCACCCATATGAACTGACCTAGTGTCTCATCATCTGAGACTCTTCTTCGTGTGCCTCCTCCATGAGAGGTGTGGAGGGGGGCAACACGAGAGCGGGCCTTTTCTGCGGTGGCTCCCTGCTTGTGGGGTGCTCTCCCCAGGGAGCCTCACCTGGTGCCTTCCTTACATACCTTTAGCTGTCAGGTGAAAACATTCCTCTTCTCCCAGACCTTTGGCTAATTAAACTATCTATATAGGGAAAAGTGGCGTTCCGCCACTCGAGATTGAACAATAACAGGTCTGTGATGCCCTTAGATGTCCGGGGCTGCACGCGTGCTACACGGACTGGCTCAGTGTGTGTCTGTCCTACGTAAACTATCTATAGTCTTTTAAACTGTGTTAGGGGCTTTGTTTTGTTTTGTTACAATGTTATGCATTTTTGTGTTTTTATATTGTAAACCGCCCTGTGATCCTCGGATAAAGGGTGGTATAGAAATTTAATTAATTAATTAATTACAATAAGGTTGGTGGCCATTGCTGCCTCCTGTGGGAACAAGTTCCATAGTTTTATCTACGCATTATGTGAAGGACTTTCTTTTATCTATCCTCAATCTTTCAACATTCAGCTGCATTGTATTATTGGGGTGGCGGGCGGGGGGTGGGGGCTTTTCTCTATTTGCTCCATGCTATGCATAATTTTATGGCACCTCTTACCTGCTTTTTCTCTGAACTAAAAAGTCTCAAACACACAGAGGAGTCTCTCCATCCCCACAGTCATTTCGGCTGTCCTTTTCTGGACCTTTTCCAACTCTACAATATGCTTTTTGAGTGAAGTGACCAGAACTGTACACAGTGCTCCAAATGAGGTTGCATCACAGATTTGCATAACGCATTACGATACTGGCAGATCTTTGGACTGTTGCTGTTTTGGCACTTTAATCCACCTTCTGGACTCGTGAGTGTCACCACAGAGACTTGCACGGCATCAAACAGGGGCTGGGTGTGTCCTGAACAAGCAAGCCTTCCCTCCTGCATTACCAGGACTCTGGTTCCCTAAGAAGATGAGCACATTAGGTACCCACAGTTCCAGCCTGAAGAGAGCCAGTTGACACCCCAGCCTGAAGTCACACACCCTCTGTATAAAAATAAAACCTTGCAAACTGCAGAGAGGACAATTTATCAATTCAAACAACTTGTGTGTAAGTGCTCTACTCTTCTGCTTCCTTTGCCTGTCATCCGGAATGTGCCATCAAAGGCCACTTCCACTTTTGCAACAGGACTTCCCCTTCCTCTTCCCCCTCCTTCAGCCCCCTGCCCACCTCCAAAACCCAACACTCCAGAGCAGATATTGAGGGTGTGTGGAGGGCTGCAGTGATGGAGAGAGGATGGAGAAGTCCTGTTCTGCAAGCAGACGTCTCTTCTGCTCGTGCAGAGAGAACTGGATGCAACCCTAGATGCACACTTAAAAAAGGTAAAAAGGGAAAGGACCCCTGACAGTTAAGTCCAGTCGCGGGAATTTGAACTGCCGACCTTCTGATCGGCAAGCCCAAGAGGCTCAGTGGTTTAGACCACAGCACCACCCACATTCCCAGATGTACACTTATACACACACAAATAGCCCAATGTAGCCCTTATTTTGTTAGGGAAGATAAGGGGAAAAACCCCACTTTTTATTTTATTTCATAAGGTCAAATATTCAGTGTATTTTGATACTTTTAAAGTATCAAACTTTTAAAATACCAGAACTGGTTACAGTCTATAAACTAGTATATACCAGAAAACAGTGGTGGAATTTCTGCCTTATGTGTTTTGAAAGTAAAGTAGCCCTGGCAAATTACAATTATGTACAGCATTTTCTTTCTGTTTTGGAAGAACAAAATCAAACATTGTTCAATGCTTTCATCAGCAACAAGGTTTTTGGTGTCCCCGCCCCCCTTTGAGAAGCATTTCAAGTGAGGCAGTAGGAATGATCCATGTTGGCATATTGTACTTCCCAGTCCTATTCTGACTGCACACATATTTTAATGTGAAGGAGATATGAATCTGTACCAAGGGGTACTGGCTGTGAATAGTTTGTGGTTACCACATGTGGATTGGGACTTGCTTGTTCAGAATAACTAGAGGACCAGATGGTTCATTGGCGTCTTATAGACTTAAATTACTTGCTAGGCATCCAGTATGAACTGGAGGGCCAAACTAATAATAATGATAATGATGATGATAATAATAATAATAATAATAATAATAATAATAATAATAATAATATTTTATTTATTATTTATACTCCGCCCATCTGGCTGGGTTTCCCCAGCCACTCTGGGCGGCTTCCAACAAAACACTAAAGTACAATAACCTATTAAGCATTAAACACTTCCCTAAACAGGGCTGCCTTCAGATGTTTTCTAAAAGTTTGGTAGTTATTTTTATCTTTGACATCTGGTGGGAAGACGTTCTACAGGGTGGGCGCCACTACCGAGAAGACCCTCTGCCTGGTTCCCTGTAACTTGGCTTCTCGCAGCGAGAGAACCGCCAGCAGGCCCTCGGCGCTAGACCTCAGTGTCCGGGCAGAACGATGGAGATGGAGACGCTCCTTCAGGTATACTGGACCGAGGCCATTTAGGGCTTTAAAGATCAGCACCAACACTTTGACTTGTGCTCGGAAACGTACTGGGAGACAGTGTAGGTCTTTCAAGACCGGTGTTATATGGTCTTGGCGGCCACTCCCAGTCACCAGTCTAGCTGCTGCATTCTGGATTAGTTGTAGTTTCCGGGTCACCTTCAAAGGTAGCCCCACATAGAGCGCATTGCAGTAGTTCAAGCGAGTGATAACTAGAGCATGCACCACTCTGGCGAGACAGTCTGCGGGCAGGTAGGGTCTCAGCCTGCTTACCAGGTGGAGCTGGTAGACAGCTGCCCTGAACACAGAATTGACCTGCACCTCCATGGACAGCTGAATGACTCCCAGGCTGTGCACCTGGTCCTTCAGGGGCACAGTTACCCCATTCAGGACCAGGGAGTCCTCCACACTGGCCCGCCTCCTGTCCCCCCAAAACAGTACTTCTGTCTTGCCAGGATTCAACCTCAATCTATTAGCTGCCATCCATCCTCCAACAGCCTCCAGGCACTCACACAGGACCTTCACCACCTTCACTAGTTCTGATTTGAAAGAGAGGTAGAGCTGGGTGTCATCCGCATACTGATGAACACCCAGCCCAAACCCCCTGATGATCTCTCCCAGCGGCTTCATATAGATGTTAAAAAGCATGGGGGAGAGGACGGAGCCCTGAGGCACCACACAGGTGAGAGCCAAGGGGTCTGAACACTCATCCCCCACCACCACTTTCTGAACATGGCCCAGGAGGAAGGAGCGGAACCACTGTATGACAGTGCCCCCAGCTCCCAACCCCTCTAGATGGTCCAGAAGGATGTTATGGTCGATGGTGTCAAAAACCTCTGAGAGATCCAGCAGAACTAGGAAACAGCTCTCACCTTTGTCCCTAGGCTGCCGGAGATAATCAACCAGCGTGACCAAGGCAGTTTCAGTCCCATGAATCCCGACTGGAAGGGATCCAAATGGTCCACTTCTTCCAGGCGTGCCTGGAGTTGTTCAGCAACCACTCGCTCAGTCCAGTATATTTTCTTTTAATTGTCAAATGATTCTGTGTACATTGCAGGAGCCTTTGGCTATGTGCAATAAAACTGACTGACTGACTGACTTGACACTCGCTCAATCACCTTGCCCAAGAATGGAAGAATTGAGACTGGGTGATAGTTGGCCATATTGGCAGCATCTAAAGATGTTTTTTTTAAGAAGCGGTTTGATAACCGCCTTTCAGCGGGTCTTGGAAGGCTCCCTCACAGAGAGAAGCATTCACCACCCCGTGAAGTCCATCGCCCAGCCCTTCCCAGCTAGCTTTTATAAGCCAGGATGGGCAAGGATCAAGGAGACAGGTGGTTGGTTTCACTCATCCAAGCAGCCTGTCCACATCCTCAGAGGTAATAGATTGGAACTGATCCCACACAGGCTAGAAATGGTCCCAAGCAACTTGACTAGACAGGACTCTAGCACTCTCCCGCCCTGGCCCTGCTCCCGCGGTGGAGTCTACCTCTTCCCAAATCTGAGTGACTTTATCTGCAAAAAACTGCAAAATCATTGCAGGAGATCATGTGGCCCGTACTGGGCCCCGATGTAGCAGGTGGTTCCGCTAAATTGCGAACCACCTGAAAAAGTCTCCTGCTGCTGTTTTCTGCAGATGCAATAGAGGCGGTGAAGAAAGTCTTATTCGCTGTCGCTACCACCACTTGGTAGGCTCGACATTGAGCTCTAACCCGTGTCCGGTCAGCTTCAGAATGAGTTATCTGCCACCGGCGCTCTACCCGTCTCAGCGATTGTTTCATTGCCCTCAGATCCGTGGAAAACCACAGGGCTGTCCGGGCTCCATGCAATTGGAGAGGGCGCTTTGGAGCCAAACAGTCAATAGCCCTGGTTAACTCCACATTCCAGCGGGCCACCAGGGAATGAGCTGAAAGGCTATCAACATGGGATAAAGCATCCCCTACCACTCTCTGGAAACCATTTGGATCCATTAAGTGGCGGGGGCGGACCATCCGAATCGATCCCACCTCCCTGCAGAGGGGAAGGGTTGCGGAGAAGTCCAGTTGCACCAGGAAGTGATCTGACCATGGCACTTCTTTTGTTTCGCTTTTACTTAGTGTCAGATCACCAACATCCATAGAGGTGAACACCAGGTCCAAGGCATGTCCGCGGCTATGAGTTGGGCCAGACTTATTCAGGAACAGCCCCATGGAGGCCATGCTTTCCACAAAGTCCCGAGCGGCCCCTTGTAAGGTCGTGTCGGCATGGATGTTAAAATCCCCTTGGGACAACCAAAGTAGGTGTCTCCAGGAGAATATCCTCCACGACCTGAAGCAACTTGGGCAGGGAATCCTTGGTGCAGCGGGGAGGTCGGTACACCAAAAGGAATCCTGTACTGGCCCATTGCCCAACTTCCAGAACATGCACTCAGAGAACTGGGTCTTCCCAATAGGATGCCTGGTGCAAACTAATGACTTCCTAAAAATCACTGCAACCCCCCCTTCCCGCCCACAAGGCCTGGGTTACTGTGCGTAAGAGAAACCTGGTGGATAAGCAGCGGCAAGGACAGGCCCATCTGCCTCATCCAACCAAGTCTCTGTTACACATGCCAGGTCAAGTCCTGCATCCATGATCAAGTCATGGATGGCAGTGGTCTTATGAATCATTGACCTGGCATTACACAGCAGCACCTTCAGGTCATGTGGGTCTCCCTTGCTGATTCCACTATCCGTCCAGTCAGGACCAGACCTGGAGGCAGGGATAGTCCTCAAACAACGACTAAACCTGCCTCCTCGGTAATGACATGGTCTGGTCTTAGCGTAACTCCTCCTCCTACCTGTGATAACTGAGATCGGTTGTCCCAGTGCATCCCCCCCTGTGGAACATGCCCCAGCCATTTTGTTGGCTGGGACCCACTCCCCGGCAGCCCTGACCCTCCCCTTAAGAACAAAATAAGACCTTTAAAAAAACAACCACAATAAAACAATACAAACAAAAACTGTAAAAATTACAAATACATCAGAATCAAACAAATTCCCGAACCCAACCAAACATCCATACAACCCCTCCCCCACAAAAAAATTCAAAAGGATTTAAAAAAAAAAACCATTTTAAAAAGAACTCTGCGCTGCTCTGAGTCCTCCTGGGCAGCAGCAGCAGCAGCAGCAGCAGCAACTGTCCTTATGAGGCCTGTAGGACCCCGCCCTGGGCCAGTTGGTGGGTGGCAGGAGCGGGGCCCTTAGGCACTCACGCAGGGGAGCATCAGTAACTTGTGTGTGAGTTAGCAAGGCATCCAGAGCTACTCCTTTATTTTTAGTTATTTTGATCAGCACTGGTCATTGGAATACAACCCAGAGGTTCCCATGACCTGCTCTTGCTTTGGGGTACAAAGCAGCTCCAGTGTTTCCTGCCCATTGTTCTCCTGGATCCTCAGTGTGCATCTCCATCCCGCTTCCCCTTCCTGTGCAGCCTCTCTGGAGCGCTGTTTGTTACAGCAACTTTGCTAGGCATAACCAAGGGAAAACCGGGTAGAAGAAGCTGCAGCTGCCTCATCTGTGGATATAGCAGCAGATTTAAAACAAGGGGTGGTCTTGGGGTTGCAGCCTGGTAAGCCTACCCTGGTGAGAAACAATATGTTGCTCTTCCCTAAGAGCACAGATAGTAACACCAGAAAATGGAAGCAGCACACAAGGAGGCAAAAGAAAATGAAGCAAGGGACAGAGGAGGACATAACCTAAAGTGTTGGCCACCCTCTATACCTGATGAGCTTGTGTGAAGGCTCAGAAGTAGCTTGTTCCACACACCTTTGGCTACTGGCTTTCTCTGGAACAGAAGAGAAGATACCCTTCCTTGCATGGCATGAGCACATACTGGCTGGCTTCCTGCGCTGTGGAGTGGTTGGAACAATGTTCCTATTGGGGCCAAACTACTTTGTGTTTGGAAGACAGGCCTGGATGTTTGGAGAGAGATGCCAGATCTCCTGACAAAATTTAGAGCCAGTCACAAGACAAATTTCCTCACCAGTGTCACACTACGAATACTGTGGTTCTAAAAATACCAAACAAATGTTCCTATAGTTGCTAATGCTTTCTGTAACACTAGGGACCCTCCTGGAAAAAGCCAGACTATATAAGTGTCTGTCACATAAGGAGAAAGTGTTGTTCCCACCCTCAGAGATTACTAACTTCTCATAGCTGTATTTGTGTTGTGTCTGGGGAGACGGAAGGAAGGAAAGAGAAGGCCAAGCTGAAAGGAAAACAAGAAAGTGGTGTCAAAAAACAGAGGCAAACCCATTTACACTAACAGTCCTGCACCAGTTGAGTAATACCCAAAGCTAAAGGCACCAGGGGATTTTTTTACACTGTTTGCAGGCTGATATGAGTTGCATCTCAGCATAAACTGGAATAAATTTCAATCCTTTGCATTGTTCTGGTGTGTCAAAATTAATTCACTGCAATAACAAATCTTATTTCTATCAAATGACAGTTACAACTTGGTTTAGAGTTACAAGATGCCTGTCTCAACTAAAGGCACGATCCATTCTGTGATCTGCACCTTCATCCCTTTGTTGTGAAATATAAGTAGGAAACATTGTGGCAGAAGACAAAACCCACCTGGAGAGGCTTCTGAGAGAATTTCCTGCAGAATCAGCAACCTGCATTCAGATATTTTCAGTAAAATGCACAAAGATTTCCATTTCCATTTTTATGAGGACTCCTTCAGAGACATTCTTACCTCATGTTGCACTCTTCATTTTAGGTTATTCATTCTAGACTTATTATATGCACTGTAGTTGAGCTGTCACGCCTATTGTTTTTATAAAAAATGTTCATGTGTAACTTACATTTCAGTGAAAGCTCTCTCAGGAAAATCTCAGAGCAAACAGAACTGCTACTCACACTGGACAGCTATAAAAATGGATGGTGTTGGGTCTTCCAGAAAGGTGTACGGAACTGAATTTCTTTTTTTAAAAAATATTTTTTATTGAATTTTACATGTTTTCCATCAAAATATCATGACATATAACAAGAATAAAAAAATAATTCCATTCCCCAATTCCCGCCCCCCCCCGACTTCCCTCAACTTCCTCTTCTGTTTTGGGGCATATTAGCTTCTCCTGCTTGTTTTTATTATGTCTTAATTTTTAAAATCTTTAAAATAATAATTATTATTCTCTTAACATTTTGACATCTTCATTATATTTCTTATATTCATTTTGTTAATTGCAAGTGTTTAATCAAACCCTGGCAGTGAGTCCATTTCTTTACATTGATCCATCTCCTAGCCACAGTTGTAGCAGACATAAAAAGTTTTTTCTTCTCTTTTGGCACCTGAAATGTCTAACAGAAAAGCTTCCGGATTTTTCACAAAAGTTATCTACAGAACTGAATTTCTGTACTTAGCTTCGCTTTTCTCCTATGGCTACTGGTCTGATCTACTTGGCTCATTACCCCCCCCCCCCATTTCACTTTCAATTTGTATACCGCTTTTCTATATTACTATACAATGGTATCTCGGGTTACAGACGCTTCAGGTTACAGATGCTTCAGGTTACTGACTCCGCTAACCCAGAAATAGTACCTCGGGTTAAGAACTTTGCTTCAGGATGAGAACAGAAACTGTGTGGCCCCATTAGCTAAAGTGGTGCTTCAGGTTAAGAACAGTTTCAGGTTAAGAACGGACCTCCGGAACGAATTAAGTACATAACCAGAGGTACCACTGTACACAATTGCACACCTTATAACAATCTGATCCAATACAAAAATGTCACAATAAAAACATAACTTTAAAATATAACTTTATATCAAATAAAGTAATATTCAATAATCCATTAGAATATAACAGTACACAATAAAATTAAGTATCAGCAAATAATTGAACAGCAATTCATGGACAGCAGAAAGCCTCTTGCCCCTCAGTGTCCAAAAATTATTTGAGGTGGCAGAATGAGAGGCACTGAACTAGGGTGATGGCCTGACATGAAAGTTGCACCAGCAGTCTGCAGTCTGCCCCTCGGAGCACCGCAGCAGGCTCGTTTCACCTTCTTTTAATCTTAGATTAATCTCCGGTGGAAACTGAGGCATGGGGTGCTACGTCGAGGGAGGGTTCACAGGATATGCAAAGCGGTCTCTCACTTGCCATGTTAATGGCAGACTGCTTTAGCCAAGGGGCAAACAGGAGCAGGAGATTCCAAGCCCGGCTCCGTTTTCAAGAGAGGGCAAGCCGAGAAGGGAGCGCTCGGCTCAATGGGTCCCCGTTTGACACGCAGTCATTCCTTCATCGTCATGGTCGCTTGACCCGCAAAAAGCGCCTCAGAGCGACCCACAAGGACATTCCGTGTTTAGCCCCGCACCCGCTGCATTTGCTGAACTTGGGAAACTGAAAGACACATCTGAATTCCCCCCCAGACGAAATGAGGGCGCCCACTTGAATGAAATATGGAGGGGGGGGAGGTAAGCCCTGCGCCGCATCACTGAGCACACACACTCTGAACAGCAAGGACGACGACGACAACAAAATCATTTTATTATTTGTCCCCGCCCACCTGACCGGGCTTCCCAGATATAAAACTATAACAAAGCATCCCACGCTAAAAGGCGGCCTACAAGGCGTGCAGTTGTTCATCTCCCGGGCACCTGACCGGGGGGGGGGGCGTCCCACAGAGAGGGGCCTCATCCCCGAGGAATCTGCTCCCTCGGCCCCGGGAGAGGAAGGGCCTAAACAGAATCCGACCCTGAAATCCCGGAAGTCGCTCTATCATAATCTAGGGGCAACTCTCACTTCCGCTTTGGGAAAAGCTTTCAAGGAACCCGGAAGCTTCCTGCCTCCAGAGCGGAGCGGCTTCAAAGGCGCATGCGCGCACCCCCACCCCGGTGAAGCAACGCCCCTCCGCAAGCGCCGCCGGAAACCCGAGAGAGCACCGCCTCTTTCCTCCTCCTCCTCCAACCAGAAGCGGGGTTCCGCTAGTCCAAGGCTGCGCCTGCGCAGTGCCCTCCTGCACCCGCCTCGCGCCGAGGGGCCGCTACCTGACGCGCCTCTTCCTCGCCGCCGGCTGCCGGTTCCCGTCCCGCCGCCAAGATGCCGCGGATCATGATCAAGGGGGGCGTGTGGCGAAACACGGAGGTAGGTGGCGCAGCTCCCCCCGCCTGGCCCCCCCGCCCCGTGCGCCGCCGTCCCTTCGCTCTCCGGAGGCCCCTCTGAGGCGAGCGGGTGGAGGGCGGTGCGCCTGCGCCAAGTGGGCTACGGCGCCTGCGCACCAGCAGCGCGCGCTCTGTCTCTGCGTAGGAGGCGGTGGCGCCTAATAAACGTTAAAAAAATAACATTTTTTAAAAAGTAGGAAGCAATGCCAAGTTTGCAAGAGGCACAGTCTTGTCCGATCAATAAATAATAATACATGTTGGTGTCTGTAGCAGCCTCCCACCTACTTTTTCTGCTCTTGCTGTGAATCCTCCCGGGAAGTAGGAGCTGGCTCGCCCCTCCTCCCGCTGGAACTTAGCGCCCAGAATGAAAAGTTTCTATTTGGGCTTTGCGGGCAAGACTTTCCCTTTGTTGGATTTTGCTTTCCATTGTTTCGTTTGGATGCCTGCCCTTCACCCTGGGGTCCTGGAGTGCTTGGTAGCCATTTAAAATGTCTTTGTCAAAAGGTAGAAAGAACTGGGTGGGGATGGCTGGGGATCAGCTTTTAAGGCATGTGTCAGGTATAGCTGTTTGGCTTTTCAGATGTTGCTGAACTGCAGCTCCCATCACCCCGGGCTGGTGATCAGGCTTGTTGCAGCTGACAGCAGTTGCAGTTCAACATCTGGGGAGCCAAAGGTTCCCATATCTGATATACAGGATAGCACTATTGTCTTTTAAACCTCTCCATACCTAGAATGAGAAGCAGTTACATCAAGTCCTTTACCTGGGGAGAAATAGTGTGTGTACATCCTAAACATGGAGAAGGAACTGGCAAGCCACTCCAGTATTTTGCCAAGAAAATTCCATGGACATAAAAAAGGATAAGCTTTGAGAAGAAAGTGAGAGTTTCCAAGGCATGCTTTGGTTCATGGCGTCACGGAGAGTCAAACACGACTAAGACGACTAAACAACAACACCCTAAACAAGCCCCATATTTGTAGGAATAATAATTTCTATTATTCCTATGCTTTAGTCAGTTTTGCAGGCTTTGACATACTAAAACCATGTGTGCAGTTCCTGGACACACTGTCATTAGTCTTCAATAAAAAACCCCAAATACTGGAGTTTATCTTATCTTTAGCTGTTTGTGCAGTGTTGTGATGGAATTCTCTTACTCAGCCTGAGTGAGGTGTGCCTACTCTAGTAGCAGCAGTAAAAGTTTTTTCCCCTGGGATGCATTCTTTTAGCATCATTGTTGGGATGAAAAAAGCTTGCCTTGCCTTTTTTTGCATAGGGTATTGTTGTAATGCCTAATACATTTTTATTCTCTTTTCGTTTTAAGGATGAAATTCTTAAAGCAGCTGTAATGAAATATGGCAAAAACCAATGGTCTCGTATTGCCTCTTTATTACACAGAAAATCAGCAAAGCAGTGCAAAGCCAGATGGTAGGTACGAGAAAATAACCTATGGGGGAATTTTGATACGTTGTTATTGGGAAACTTCATCAGAGTTTATCAAGTCAAGGCAGGTGAAGTGGGGACTACATATTGTCTGTGTCAGAAATTCCTGCACAATACTCCACAGACATCCTAATTCTGCAATCAAAATAAGAAAATTTGTGTACAGTAATTGTTTCTGTGCAGAGAAGGACCGCACAAATATATCCAGAGGCTAAGTGAAATCCAAGTGAGATAAATTTTCCTGCATTAATACTGATTCATGCTTTACATTTAGCTGCTTACATTCTTTGATATTCTTCTTACAAGAGTGGCTTTTTTAAGTTGTGTATTTTGTAAGATGGAGCTTACAGAGTTCAGCTACATTATCAAACAAATTTCAAGTGGAACTTTCCAGCTCATATTATAGTTTGGGGGAGAGTAAGCACAAGTATGTAATGTGTTGTCAGGTGTATCCTAATTTTGTCATATCAACTGATATATGACTGCTTAGGTCAGTGATTTTCAGCCATTGTTCCATGGCACCCTGGGGTGCCTTGAATGATGGTCTGGGGTCCTGTGAGCAACAGTGGCCTCTGTCCCTCTTTCCGTCCCTCCCTCCTCTGATGCCCTCTTGCTTCTCTGCCTCCCAAAGGCTGGCACAGCTGTTTATTGCAGCAGCTGTGGCTATAAGCTCTGCAGGCAAATGGTGCCACTGGGAGGCACCTCTCTTTTGGGTAGTGGGGCAGCAACTCAGAGCCAGGGACAGCAGCAGTAGCTGCCCAGAGGACTCTCAAGGAGAGTGGAGAGAAAAGGATGCTGAGGTAACACTTCACTAGGGAGGGTGTTCGAAAAAGTGTGTGAGGCTGCCAGGTCTGCAGGCAAGGGGTGACATAACTGGACTCCTGAGCCCCACAGGGGTGCTGCAGAAAGAATGTACCATATTTTTTGCTCCATAAGACACACTTTTGTCCTCCTACTTTTGTCCACTTTTGTGCGTCTTATGGAGCGAATGCACTGCACGGCAGAGGGATCCCTCAGCTGCTGCTGCAGTCGTGAGCTGAGGGATGCCTCCGCAGCCGGAGCCATGGCTCCTGTCCGCCCCTCCTCTCGCCTCGCTGGAAAGCAAGCAAAGCACCTGTCCTGGTGTCTCCCCCTCCTCTTCTTGCTCCAGCATCACCATGCTTTATAGCGAGGCGGGAGGAGGGATGGGCAAGCAAAGTGAGAGCTGCGCAAAGCGGGACAGAAGCCATGTAAGTGGCTCTTGCTTTGCTTGCTTTAAAGCGAGAGCCGCTTACATGCTCTGCGCAGAATATTTTTTTTCTTGTTTTCCTCTAAAAACTAGGTCTTATGGTCAGGTGCGTCTTATGGAGCAAAAAATACGGGTAGTTGGTTAAGGGAGCCGTGGACTCAAAAAGGTTGGAAACCTCTGGCTTAGGGCATTTTTTAATTGGCCTGGGCCATGTTAGTTTTTCAGTGTAGATTACAGTTCATATTTTGAAAGTAGCCTATATACTACCTTTATAGATGCAGTAATTATGAGAAATAAAGTTGGCAAAATTGGGACTATTTTCATTTTCTTTATGTATCTATATACTATAGCAGATTCAAGAAAGGCTATGTGAAATCCTCTGTGGAGCTAATTTATAGGTGTTTAATCGTGTTAACAGTATCTTGAAAAAAATCTCATTTTTATTATTTTGAACAAGGTATGAGTGGCTGGACCCAAGTATCAAGAAAACAGAATGGTCACGAGAAGAAGAGGAGAAGTTGTTGCATTTGGCCAAACTTATGCCAACCCAGTGGAGGACAATCGCACCAATTATTGGGAGAACAGCTGCCCAGTGCTTGGAACACTATGAATTTCTCCTGTGAGTAATTCTGCTCTGTAATGAAGTTAGTTTTTGATATTGAGAGACCTAGTTACAGAACTAACTCAGGATTTCAGAAGAAAGCTTTTAGGTGTTTAAGAGTTGTTGTTTGCATCCAGAGACAATTGAGGAGTGTACCTTTGGGGGTGAAGTCAACCCGTTAGAGGGTTACAGTTCTTGCTGTGGCTGTAGAGACCGTTACAGGAGAGACATGTTTTGTTGCAGCTGGGGCAGATGAAGGTGTCCTGTTGTGCTGCTGCAGATGCACCATATGCATGACTTGACTTTCTGTCTCCAGACACTCTGATAATCTGCAAGGGATTCCCATATGATGGGGTTAATGTAGGCAGCCTTCATGTCATGTTTGCAGACATCTTTGGTCTGTCAGCAGGCCTGGTACTGGAAGCCAGCTCCCCGTGGAGCACGTCTTTGGGGATCCTGCCATCTTCCATTCTATGTACAGCAGCAAACACAAATATGGGCAGCAAACTCAAAATGACAGCTGTGGGGCATGACCTATTGCTGCCATCTCTTAAAAAGCAGAAAAAGATAGGGCATCACAAAATGCCTGTCCCATCAATGAAGTAAGAAAGTGACTGTATCAGTCACCTGCACACTCACAAACTCTTTGCACCTCTCTTCTGTTCAGAACAGATGGAAAGATGGGTGTTCAGTCCTGGCATCCATGAAATGTGAACATGTTTAAGGAGGTCATGCTCAGTATAGGAGTGGGTGGGTGAGCAGGAACTGCATTCTGGATTTTTGAGGGGATGCTTACTGAGGCTTTTCAGTTGTGCCGTAGGAAGTACTGGTGGGCACCATGTTGACAGCTCCTGATTTTCTTTGGGTTGGTTGTATTGTCTTTGGTTTGTATCCAACTAAGTCATACTGAGAAGAGAACCGCTGATATCAATAGATATGGATAACTTAAGTCCATTCAATGTCTTATATTAGTATATATTTGCTTCATATTTTTGCACTTGTTCTACATGTTATCTTTTCAGGGATAAGGCTGCTCAAAGAGACAATGAGGAAGAAACTGCTGATGATCCTCGGAAACTTAAACCCGGAGAAATTGACCCAAACCCAGAAACCAAGCCAGCCAGACCAGACCCTATTGATATGGATGAGGGTATGCTTGAAACAGGTTTCATGAATTTGTCCCCACTCCATCCTTTGACACGTTCATTATATAGCACAATTCTTTCCTTTTGTGACTTTCCTTCATTAGCCCATCACTTGTTTTATGGTTTCAGTCAGCTATTGCAAGGCTGAAGAATCTTCCCCCAAGCACAGAATTCTGTTAGCATATATCACATTATTTGTCTCTCACAGACACACCATGTACACATGAATAGAGCTTGGCTTGTGCTTCATCTTTGCAAAGAAAAAGAGTTTCCCCTTTTCTAGCTCACAGACTAAAGCTGCACAGAGATCTAAAACATCACTCCTGCATGGCCAGATCACTCGTGTGTGCTGAGAAAGCATTCCTTTTCAGAGATTAAATGTAGCAAGCCCACCATTTGTTTCATTTCCGCTTCTTGGGGAATGACGTAAACTGGCCTTACAGGAAGAGATATTTGACTGCATGGGTAGTTCACTGCAGAGTGAAACTTGGGAAAAGGGCATGGCCAAGTGATAAAGGGCAAGCCTTGAAGAGAGTGCTGAGGGGCATGTAAAGAGGTATTGCAGACTGGATTAGGTCTTCAGGCTGGAGGTTTTTCCAAAGGATCCCCCTTAAAGTTCTGCCTGGAAATTAATTAATTAACTTTGAAGTGACTCCAGTTTGATAGGAAGAAATAAATTTTATTGCTATCATGTTAAAGAAAAAGTCATAATATACAAACTATTGGTGGACATAGTCCATCATTTTAACAATATGTGTGCATAGGATTGAAACCTCAGTAATATAGGAAGAAACTTGTTGATTACACCTTTTAAAAACCTATAGAAATAGAATATTTTTTTTCTTGTATTCATACAAGAGATAACAATAGAGACTCTTGTTGGCCTAAATCATGTTTTGAACACATTCAGAAAAGGCAGAAGTGACCTGGGATCTGTTAACATACAGATTTTCCCACTTCTGAGAAGCATTTCATTCTTACCTATTTCATAGAGCAAGGTGTAAATGAGAGTGTGTGAACTTTGTACATTCCTTTTGCAGATGAACTCGAGATGCTTTCTGAAGCTAGAGCTCGGTTGGCTAACACTCAGGGAAAGAAAGCCAAAAGGAAAGCAAGAGAGAAGCAGCTGGAAGAAGCTAGGTATTACTTGACTCAGCTAAAACTGTTAATTGGCAGAGCTCCAGTCCAGGCAGGACGCTTGTCCAAGGGATGGAATAGCTGTCTTGTCATAAGATAGCAGCAGAATGGTTAATTCTACTCCTTGCAACCCCTCATTGATTTGCACAAACACTGTCAGATTCTGCATCTCTCCCTAAGATGGTAACAGTCATGCTTGGCACATGGTTTGTTTTCTATCTGTTGGAGTCTAATGTTGGGAAAATAAATAAATAAATATTGGGCTAAGATTGAGATGGGATCTCGAATCTCAATGCAGTGCTCCTGTGTTTCCCACCTATTTTCCTCTCCCCTTTTATTAATGACCCAAGTCACCAGGTTTTATTGATGCTGCTAGTTACCCGTTCTAAGTATTAAAATGACTATAAATAATAAACTGTAAGCAGCTCAAATGCTGAGCTTTGATGGGTGAAATCTAGGTTCAATTCAGCATTGGCGATGAAGCTCAAGGTGTGGTTTGGTGCAAGTAAATATTTCTCAATCTGACCAGTCTTGCAGAGTTGCGAGGATAAAAGCCTGAAGTGTAAGATTTGGATTCAGATGTAAGAAATAAACAAGAAGCTGTTTTAATTGCTTGCAAACCATGCACCTTTCTTAATAATTTCTGAATTTTCAGGCATTCTTTATGAGAAGTCCAGAAACTCGGGATGATTTGTTAAATTGACAGATTTGGAGTTCAAGAAAGATTCTTCTCTTCCTCCGCCCCCGCTCTGCAATCTGGCAGCAGCAGAAGTAAAATCAAGCAGATCCTTGAAACTTTGTGTTAAAGCCTTTTGAGACTTTGATCTCATGACTCAAAACTGATGTCTTGTGCTGTGTGTAGCATAAAGGAATACTCGTGTGGAACTAATTTTCAGTATGGACTGCAAACATTTTACACAGTAAACCACACTTAATGCTTCCTCTAGAAGTGGTCTATTTTTCAAAGCTAATAACAGCTGTTCAGATTTGTGTTAATCTATCACACCTTTGCAGGCGTCTTGCTGCCCTCCAGAAGAGGAGAGAACTTCGAGCTGCAGGGATTGAGATCCAGAAGAAAAGAAAGAAGAAAAGGGGAGTAGACTACAATGCAGAAATCCCATTTGAGAAGAAACCTGCTGCAGGTTTTTATGACACATCAGAAGAAAACTACCAGGCCCTGGATGCAGATTTTAGGAAGTTAAGGCAGCAAGACTTGGATGGGGAGCTCAGATCGTAAGTTGGTGCTTGACTGGAAAGTTACGTTTAAATGGGCCAAAAGGGGTACAGAGCAAAGTCTTGTATAATGTTGCCAACAGTATGTGCTATGACACATTCCATCCATTTGTGTACTGTTGCTTATCTTTACTTTTTGTGAATTCTTACAAGACTTAGCATTTGAATGTCTTAGCTTTTTTAATAGATAACCCGAGTTTCTAACTATTGTTTTTGTGGAATGAAAATCATTAAAATATCTAGCTTTTCTCTGTTGGCTGTTTGAAAACTTAAGTTGGAGCTGGTCAAGGAAGACACTTTGGTGGCTTGGACAGTAATATTGTTCTGTTCCTAATTTTTTGATTGCTGTGCTCCCATTTTCCCTTTAATTTAGGAATTGTTGTCATGCAACAAAATCCAAATCTTGCAACGAGAATATTTTAAATGTAGCACAGAATTATTGGTTCTAAACAGAGGCATTAGTGTATAATTCACACAGATCTGCTCCTTATCTCTGAGAGTGGTACAGCAAAAAGTCATGTTTCTTCAACTGATGGGCATATGTCATCTCCTTTTTACCATCTAAAGATTCCTAGAGGTCCTCTATCTGCAGTCCTATTTGTGATGGCTGTTGGACCATTAACTATATTGATTTGAGACAATATTGGTGTTACTGGAGTCTCTGTTGGTAAAAAGAAGAAGTAAGATTTAGTTTGAAATAAGTAAGGTGACATAGCCTTGACACCTAATCCTAAAACCTCACAGAAGGAATCTGCTTAACATCATAACTGTATTTTTAAGGCTTGCAAGAATGACATGATAGAGGTCTCTAGGATAAATGGTAAGGATAATTATGAAAGACCAGATTTAATCAATAAATTAAGCATTCTTGGACAGATACACCAAGACTTTTTTTGTCATGGCTGCTGTCCTGCTGAGTTAAACTTGGGAGTAGACGGTAGAGCCATTGAAATCAGTGCACTTTTGTAACTTCAGTCAATGGAATTCAATGTGTCTGCCTTGAGTACAGCTAACTGGATATTACCCTTTATTAGACACCTTATGAAATAATTTATCAAGGTGCTGTACAATAGAAAGGAATAAAAACGTAATAAAAGCATACTACAATAAACTTCAGAGACAATAAAATGCTACAAGCAGCACAGTACTGGTTGTTTTCTGTGCTTCAGAGGCCCAACTGGCCTCAGCCACAAGTCTGGCATGTAATGTTATCGGTGGCATCCTGTGGATCACTTTCAGCAGGCATCCTCACGTTGGCTTTCAGGTGTCCTGAAGGCTTTTTATGCCCACAAGCTTTTCAGGTTGTTTAAAATCTTCTTGAGAAACCAGCCATTTTAATGATGGATCTTTATTGATTCTAAAAGTTTTTATTTTGTTATTCACCACCCTGATGCCACTTTTCTCTTCAAATTAATACAGTTGTCTTACAAATAACAACAAAACTTTATTCATCTGTCAATATCATGTGACTTTAAAAACCCCCACTTACGCTGTTGCAATAGATAAAGCACCCCATACCTTTCTGAACTATTTATTGAATTATCAATCATTGGTACTTAATTGAGGCACTTCTGTTTTAACAGGGAAAAGGAAGGAAGAGAGCGAAAGAAAGATAGGCAACAGCTGAAACGGAAAAAAGAGTCTGATTTACCTTCAGCAATTCTTCAGACTAGTGGTGTGTCAGAATTCACAAAAAAAAGAAGCAAGCTGGTGCTTCCAGCTCCTCAGGTAAGTTGCTTGTTCCTATCGCCGCCTTGTGATTTGTTTAAGTCACTGCAGATGCATGTGATGTGCCCAAATCATGAGGCTTTTCAGAAATTAAGGCTCACATGTGCAAATATAATCTGCATCCCCCCCCCCCCGGATGCATGTTGCCCATGGATTCCTACTTTTTAGCCCCCTTTTCATATCCCAGATTTGCAGTGCGAGAGTCTCTCAGGGTAGCTTTATATCCATTCATTTGCATATTCTTCTTGGAAGCACCATCCTTTTTAGCACTGTTTCATTGTGCCAGACACATCGTATTGCAGGAAATGCTTTTAGCACTGCAAAACTAGCAAAGGTTGTACCACTTTCCCCAGTTAAGTTGGAGGGGAAATGATGTAGGCTTGACCAGTTGAAGCAACTGCCTTTTTCCTGTTGGTATATTGACTAAGGGCAGTCCCTATGGCACTATTGTAACAGCTAGCGTTTCTGATGTTAAGACAACTTTTCATTGTTGGGTGTTTCTCAGTTTATTAGGAATCCTGTCATATTCATTGCAATGTATGGATTTATCTCCTCTTCTTAAGATTTCAGATACAGAACTTGAAGAAGTAGTTAAAGTTGGCCAAGCAAGTGAGATTGCACGTCAAACAGCAGAGGAATCTGGGATCACAAACTCTGCATCCAGCACACTTCTGTCAGAATACAATGTTACCAACAATAGCATTGCTCTTAGAACACCTAAAACGCCGGCAGCACAGGACAGGATCCTACAGGTAAAGCCTAAATATAGTTTCATTTTAACATTGCACTGGTATCCTTTGCAGCTTCGTATTTTATTTGTAGTTAAGTGAAGTAAGTAATCAATCTTCCACCTCTGCTCCATTGTGTTGCATGGCTTGTTGGGAATGGGGAGCTACCAACCCCTGCTTGGAACATAGCTTGTGGGTGGCTGCATAGCAGGAAGACTAGATGGCAGATGAAGCTCAAAGATAGGCTTTTGTTTCATCCTGAACAAGCTATCCTTTCTCCTACCTGCAAGAGGAACAAAGCCCAGGATGTCAGTGGAGGATATTTTTATCAGTCAGTTATACTAGATATTCAATATGACTAAATGGAGTTGGTATTCTTGACTTGAAAGAAGCAAAATACTAACTTTTCATCCAATTTTGTTAGTTGATATTTGAGCAACATTTGGTTCCTTTTTGAAAATTGCACCTTGACTCATTAGATTGGTATTGGTGGTTTGCCGGTAGTTGCAAAAGGAAAAAAAGTGGTTTATTTTTCCTCCTACCCATCAATAGGTAGTATCTTTTGACATTGGAATATCTTTCTATATACATAAAAATTTAAGGCTTTCATTGCACATTTAGAGCATTTGCAGTGCCTCATCACCATCCTGTGTTTGCATGAAGTCATGGGGGGGGAGCAAAACAAGGCAGGTCGCACAACAGGGGTATCTATGGCATGAGAGGGAGAAACGGGGGAAAGGGGCAGTGTAAAACAACAGCAGAAGATTGAACAAAGCAGGTATGAAGTATTTGAGGGCTTTGCCTTGTTTATCGCTCTTGTAAGGTAGTTGAGGAATGGGAGAAGTTTTCAGTATAGTGAGAACAAAGGGGGAAAGTGGCTCTTTTAAACAACAGCAGAGATTTCAGTAATGTGAGGATGAAGGAAAACGTATTGGAAGAGAAACATTCGGGAGGTTACCACAGGAGTGGTTTGTTTATAAGAGCGCTGTGCAAAAGGATGCAGGGAGGAGGCATGGACATGGGAGCAAAGGTGAAAATGGGTGCAAAGCATGGCTGTAGAACAGAAGAGAGAAATAACTTTGGAAATAGGTTGGGAAGGTGAAAAGTGAGCTTAGTGGTTTCATGGAGTGGGAAGGGGAAGCTCCAGGGAGTTAATGTGGGGGGAATGGCAGGGGGCAGCACGTGGAGCAAGCAGGAGTGCAGCCCCTAGTTGATAAATATATATATATATATATTTGTAGAATTTTAGTTTGGAAAATGATTATTGTCTTTATATCTATCTATCTCTCTATCATCTATCTTATATCTTATTATGCAGGAAGCCCAGAATTTGATGGCTCTTACAAATGTTGATACCCCCTTGAAAGGTGGTCTGAATACCCCTCTCCATGAGAGTGACTTCACTGGAGTAACACCTCAGAGGCAAGTTGTTCAGACGCCAAATACAGTGCTTTCCACACCCTTCAGGTAAGTCATCTACTTGAGCTGTTGGGGAAGGGCAAAGATACATTTGAACTTTCTTTTACTTTAATAAGGGGGTTTGTGTGTGTGTGTATGTATTGGACACCAGATTTCCCAGGTTCCTCTCCATGATGAATTGCTGACTATAAATTCCAAATCCAAAACAGGGACTTGTAGGCTGGTAGTCTTTAAACAGTTAAAGATGAGCACAAAAATTGTGCTACCGCACTCATATTGGAGCAAATAATTTTTTTCTAGGACACCTTCCCATGGAGCTGAAGGGCTGACTCCTCATAGTGGAATGACTCCTAAGCCGGTAGTAGGTGTGACTCCAGGGAGAACTCCCTTGCGTGATAAACTGAATATTAATCCTGAGGAGGGAATGGCAGATTACAGTGATCCATCCTATACAAAACATATGGTAAGTAAGTAGGAAATTTTCATTTCCACAATTTTATCCATTGCATTTCACAGGTGGGGGCTCTCAGAAATGATGATGGATCCACCCACCACCATTATGTCTTCCTAAAACAAATAGGAATTTATTTGAATCTTTACAAACGTAATTACGGGCACTGACTAGATTTCCTGGTTTTTTAAAAATATTTTTTTTAAAGCATGGGTGCTCTAGCTTTGATTAGAGTAGTGGCAAGCAAAGAGGATATATTTTAACTTTCTTTTTCCTTGCACCCATTTTCCTAATCTTAAATCCCCACCACCACCAAGCTACTTTGGGAGTTGACAACATTGCCGGGGGGGGTGGAGGTGGGAGAACAAATTCCTCAACTCAGTTTTACAGAGTAGATTACCGTATTTTTCACCCTATAAGGCGCATTGGCCCATAGAACACACCTCGTTTTTTGGGGGGGAAATGAATAAAAAAAATTATTCCCCCCCCCAGCCGCAGGGCTGGGGCGGGGGAAGCCCGAACTTCCCCCGACCCCAGCCCACAGAACAGGCTGCCGCCCCAAGCCTTGCGCGCCCGGCGGAACCTCCCGCTATGCGCGCAAGGCTTGCGGACACCTGCCCGAAGCACGGGGCGTCCTCCGGAGGGCGCCACGTGCTTCGGGCTGCAGGCTGCCGTCTGCAAGCCTTGCGAGCCTGCGGGAACTCCCGCCGGGCACGCAAGGCTTGCGGATAGCTTCCTGAAGCATGGAGAGCGAGAGGGGTCAGTGCGCACCGACACCTCTCGCTCTCCAGGCTTCAGCGAAAGCCTGCATTCGCCCCATAGGACGCACACACATTTCCGCTTCATTTTTGGAGGGGAAAAAGTGCGTCCTATAGGGCGAAAAATATGGTACATAAGTATTCTCTAATCTAAGGAAGTGCATTTGGAGTTAAGAATAAGCACTTGAGCACATCAAGGCAAGCAGTTGTGGCTTTTTGTGGGTGCACACGTTTGTAGACATCATTTGGGCAGCAGCTCAAGTTCTGTGATTGCAGCCACTGTGGTCACAGAAATAGACAGGAGCAATCACAGTGATCGCTCTCAAATCCCAAAGTGACGTTGACGATTGCCTGTCAAGACCTTTCATTGCTTTTGAGAATTGAGTCATTTCATAACTCTGAGCCCAGTGTGAAGGGAAGGACACAAAGCTGGTCCATAAGTAGTTGAAATCACCAGGCAGGCTTAAAAATAAAATGACTGCTTGCTTTATTGCTGTTTTTAGGAAAGTGAACATTTAGTGCATTAAATTACTTTAACATTCAACAGGAAAGAGAATCCCGTGAAAATTTGCGTCTAGGACTTATGGGTCTTCCTGCTCCAAAGAATGACTTTGAGATTGTCCTACCTGAAAATGCGGAAAAGGAACTCGAAGATCATAATGCAGATGATACATATATAGAGGATGCAGCTGATGCAGACGCTCGCAAGCAGGTAGAATGAATTATTAGATTTATAAAGCAGTGTAACATACTGTGTCCTTCTCCCATGAACTTCACCTAATTCATGTCTTAAATCTCTTTCTAGAGTATTCGAGAAATGGAGCGTATAAAGGCACTAAAGCGGATGCACAAAGCAGTTCAGAAAGATTTGCCAAGACCCTCTGAAGTACGTTGTTCCTAATTCTGAAGAAGATGAAATAAGCTGAGGGGAGGGAATGCTATCAGTAAAATGGTGAATAATAAATATTTGTAAGCTGCAGTATCAGTATTAGCAACTGGAGGCCTGGAGCTAAGAAGTGGGGGAAATGCCATTTAAGACACATGGATTTGCTGGCCAGTCGGAAGTGTAGGTCAGGGCACTGGTCCACCACCCCTCACTTCCTTTTCAGAACAGCCATTCCGGAAAGCCGGTTGCTGGCCAAGCTGTTACAATGCTAAATGAAATTAATAAAGACAATGGAACATTATTTTCTGATTTTGTCAAATTCTGTGGATTTAATGTGTGTCTTGGGACTCTGGAGCACCTCTTGATGTAATTCAACAGTTGGTTATCACATATATAGTGTGACATGACTAGCAGCAGTGGCTGCTCTTAAAAGGCTGGCTTTTTGTTTTTTGGATTAGGTAAATGAAACAATCTTGAGACCCTTAAATGTAGAGCCACCTCTAACAGATTTACAGAAGAGTGAAGAGCTGATTAAGAAAGAGATGATTACCATGCTTCATTTTGACCTTGTGCATCACCCTTATGGAGAACTCCCAGGAGGCAAAAAGGGGAAAGTCCCAGGGTTTGGACCCGGTAGCACAGAACACCTGTCTTATCTTGAACACAATCCTTATGAGAAATACTCAAAGGAAGACATCAAAAAGGTATATATATATCCTATTTCTCTGCATTGTTTATGATCTCTGCCTACCATAGTACTACATTTTGCAAGGTTTAAACTTTCTAATTCTATTCTTAAGCTGATTGGAAAATTTCTAAAACTTTCTTTTGGGAGTGCTTTGGGAGTACTGATGGTGTTTCAGTAAGCTTTTCTCTGCTTAACACCCAGATTTACGATAGGACATCACTGAATGGCAATTAGAATCTTTTTAGATGAAATTTATGAATTATATTCTGGTGGTTTACAGCAATCATTACCAGTCTTTTTAAACCCAGGGCCCACTATAATTCCAACTTGAAAAATGGGATCACATTTTAGGTTTTTTTTAGCATATGTGTGCCTCTTCCTTCCTCTTCCTTTTTTGGGGAAAGTCCATGCTTCAGATATTTTTTTCTAAGGAATCTTGAGAACAGTAGTTGTGTGTCTGGGGGTAGAGATCTCTAACAGAGAATTCTTAGCACAGGCACAAAGCTACAATTCCCAGAGGTTTAGGGGATAAGCAGTTACAGTTCAAATGATATAGAACCAATATAAATTTGTGGTATGTATGTGTGTGTTGATCATACTTAGATCCCACTCTCCCTCCAAGCAGTGTACATGGTTCTTTTCATCTTTCATTTTAGTTAGGCAAAGAGCAAGTGATTGGTCCAAGGTCACTCAGTGAGCTTCACGGTCAAGTCTCTTTGATCCTAGTCCAACATTTTAGCCACTGTGCTATGCTGACTCTGTCTAAACATGTTCTCACTTTCCCTCCAATCTCTCTATTTCTCTTTATTAGAAAAGAGGGAACTAAAAAACTATGCGGTGTAGTGCATCTGATGTTACACCTCTCTGCCCAAGACTCAGTAGATCACAAGCACCTGATATTTAGCCTGGTAGTTACAGTTTGAGTTCTCCATAATTAATTCACATTTACATTTAACACAGCTAAAAATGGGGGAGAAGATTGGTAGTGACAGACAAGCTGCCCAAAATGTAGCTGTATCCATCATTACTGATCTTTCCCTGCAATGTGCAGTGACAAGACCATGTTTGTTGCGTACGAGGGACTGAGTGCATTCCTACTTTACTGGGGTGAGGCTTTACAGAAATAACTGGCACCCTAAATGAATAGTGCATATCTTAGAATATGTTCCCAGAATACCTACACATAAAATTCCACAATCTGGATTTAAGGTGGCTTTATGTAATTGCCTTGTAGTGTAGATCCACATGGTTTATGAACTCTTTACTCCCTACTCTGAGTATAAAATAATGTAAGTTCTACAGAACAAATGCTTGAAGTTGAACAGAGTTCTACAGAACATTCTTTCATCTTCCTCACATTGGCCCACGATTCCAAAATGTTTTGAATCGGTTTGGACTAGATGACCCTTGAGGTCCCTTCCAACTTTACAATTCTATGAACCAGTTCTAAGACCAGAATCACATAGGTTGGTGCTGTTATGTGGGAAGTGTCTTTATGAATACACACATGGACTGCTTACTTAAACAACAACAAAACGAATTAGAAGGGGTGTTGTGTGTATACTCATTTTGTATACAGTGGTACCTTGGTTCTCAAACTTAATCTGTTCTGGAAGTCTGTTCCAAAACCAAAGAATTCCAAAACCAAGGTGTGCTTTCCCATAGAAAGTAATGCAAAACGGATTGATCCGTTCCAGACTTTTAAAAACAACCCCTAAAACAGCAATTTAACATGAATTTTACTATCTAATGAGACAATTGATCCATAAAATGAAACTGTACTATAAAATAAGTAAATATCGTAGATGATAAAAAAAAATAATTCTTACCTGCACTGATGATAGTCATTGTTTGGATAGGGGGCTTTTATCCATTTCCACAGTCACATAATCAATCAGTAGCTGAACTGGGTTCCACACAGTCACAAAAACAAATGAACTGAAAAAGCCTCAAAAACAAAAGTGCCAAACTTAATCCATTCCGGAAGTCCGTTTGACTTCCGAAATGTTCGAAAACCAAGGCGCAGCTTCTGATTGGTGCAGGTGGCCCGGAAACAATAGCCGACAGCCGCATCGGATGTTCGGCTTCCGAAAAAAGTTCGACAACCAGAATACTTCTAGGTTTTCGGCATTTGAGTACCAAGGTGTTTGAGAACCAAGGTACCACTGTATTCTGTACAGCAAATGCAATGTGAAAACTGGGAAAAGTGCCACTGATGATTTATGTTTTTTATGTGACTGTGTAAGATGTGTTGACACAAACAATAGAAAATGCTTTTCTTCAAATGGAGAAGTTTGCCCTGTAAATTGTTATATATATAGTTCAAGAACAGCAAGAGAGGTGAACTTGTAACTAATCCCTCATTTCAAACAGGCTGAAGAACTCCTGGCCCAAGAAATGGAGGTGGTGAAGCAAGGAATGGGGCATGGAGAGCTTTCAAGTGAAGCTTATAATCAGGTGTGGGAAGAATGTTACAGCCAGGTGTTGTTCCTTCCTGGGCAGAATCGCTACACACGAGCTAACTTGGCCAGTAAAAAAGACAGAATTGAATCCCTAGAGAAGAGACTTGAGGTTGGTATACATTTCCTTTTGAGAAACAGGCTTAATCTGACATACCGTGTGTTCTGTCTTGTGTTTTATCCCTAATTGGGAATTAGGGGCACTGCTATTTCAATGGAATTCTATAGAACTGAAAAAAATTTTTTAAAAGAAAAACGTCTAGTGACACATGGCCTTAATTGGCATCATTCATATACTGGATAAATCAAGTTGAATCCAAAAACAGGAAGTGGTTCTTTTTGGTCATGCTAATGTATCCTGATATGCTCCAACATTATGCTCATCCTGTGGTTACTTAGCTCAGTTTTGTGACTAGAGGTGGGCCTCAACTTGCCCTCCTGATAGCTGGAAGAGAGTAGTAGTTGTTCTTTCTGCCTAAGCTTCGTTGTTAGGGGATGCAGTGAATGGATTCCAGTGTTTCATATCTGCTGAGGAGCTGGATGTTGAATGTAAATTGACAGCATACACTTTAAAAATATTTTGTCAGTTTAAAGTTGGGCAGAGCAACACAGTGTTAACGTAAAATATTCATATATTCAAGTGTACAGTACAAGAAGGGGATTCCTACAAGCCCTGTGCAATACATTGTGTCACACAAGCTTACTATCTGCACTAGTGCCATCTCAAAAGTTACTTCACACTTTACATGGTGATCATCTTTGCTAATGTTTGGGGAACGTAAAGGATGGCCTGATTGACCCATCCTTGGGTATGAGTGCTGTGTGTAGAATAGAAAAGAAAGGCAACTCCTGCACAAGAGGTGGCTCATTTTCCTGGCCAAGGAGCCTAGTTCTGTCTTAGAATGAACTTGTACTCCGTGTTGGCCAGCAGAAGGCACCATTGCTCTGTGGAATACTTCAGGTGACACGGAAAGATGAACTGTCAGTTGCTTTCCTATTTACTCTTCAAGCTCAATATTTTTATTGAGTGGAATGATATGTTGTTTAGTCGTTTAGTCGTGTCCGACTCTTCGTGACCCCATGGACTGATATGATCGCCATGGAATGATATAGTACCTTAAATACTCTTGTTGTGCAGCCCCACCAATTAAAAGACTAATTAAAATGGTGTTTTTTCTGTTTTAAAAAGACAAAACTGTTCTGTTTATATGACTGTTTGCAGTGCCTATTATATGGATTTGGGGAGGAAATTCCATAATCGTAGCTGGATTCACTATTTGGCCAATGTCACAAAAGACCCATCAAAAAAAGGTTGTGTGTGTGTATGAAATTGCTAAAATAAATACTGCATTTCATGCTGAAGTCCAGAGAAGGCTACCTATTAAAGTTTAAATGTAAGCTGTGTGAGATCATTCTTGGAGTGATGAGAAATGCACATTATACAATTTTACTTATTTTTTTCCATTTCCAAAGACATACGGTTGAGTTCATCTCGGGGTGGAGGGTGCTTGTTTGTGTGCACATGCCTTTAAAGAAAAAGGAGACCTTAAATGTAATTAATAGTAGTAGATTCATACTTCTCCCTGCAGCCCTAGCACCATTTCTCTCACTGTTTAGGAGAATTTGGATGCAATGCTGGATGCAATGCTGGGAAAGCCTGGATTCTCCACCGTGGGAGCAGGGCCGGGGCGGGAGAGTGCTAGAGTCCTGTTGCTTGGGACCATTTCTAGTCTGTTACCTCCAAGGCTGCTTGGACTAGTGAAACCAACCATCTGTCTCCTTGATCCTTGCCCATCCTGGCTCATAAAAGCTAGCCGGGAAGGGCTGGCAATGGACTCTGTGGGGTGGTGAATGCTTCCTTCTGTGAGGGAGCCTTCCCAGACCTGCTGAAAGAGGCGGTTATTAAACCGCTTGTTAAAAAAGAATCTTTGGACCTGGCCAATATGGCCAACTATCGCCCAGTCTCAAATCTTCCATTCTTGGGCAAGGTGATTGAGCGGGTGGATGCTGAACAACTCCAGGCATGCCTGGAGGAGGCGGACCATTTGGATCCCTTCCAGTCAGGATCCAGGCCTCATCATGGAACTGAAAGTGACTTGGCCACGCTGGTTGATGATCTCCGACGGGCTAGGGACAAAGGTGAAAGCTGTTTCCTAGATCTGCTGGATCTCTCAGCAGTCTTTGATACCATCGACCATAACATCCTTCTGGACCGTCTAGAGGAGCTGGAAGCACAGTGGTTCCACTCCTTCCTCCTGGGCCGTGTCCAGAAAGTGGTGGGGGGGGATGAGTGTTCAGACCCCTGGGCTCTCACTTGTGGGGTGCCTCCAGGTTCTGTCCTCTCCCCCATGCTTTTTAATATCTGTATGAAGCTGCTGGGAGAGATCATTAGGGGGTTTGGGCTGGGTGTTCATCAGTATGCAGATGATACTCAGCTCTACCTCTCTTTCAAATCTGAAACATTGAAGGCAGTGAAGGTCCTGTGTGAGTGTCTGGAGGTGGTTGGAGGATGGATGGTGGCTAACAGATTGAGGTTGAATCCTGACAAGACAGAAGTACTGTTTTGGGGGGACAGGGTGTGGGTGGGTGTGGGGGACTCCCTGGTCCTGAATGGGGCAAGTGTACCCCTGAAGGAGCAGGTGTAAAGCCTGGGAGTCATTTTGGACTCACAGCTGTCTATGGAGGTGTAGGTCAATTCTGCGTCCAGGGCAGCTGTCTACCAGCTCCATCTGGTACATAGGCTGAGATTACCCGCCTGTGAACTGTCTCGCCAGAGTGGTGCATGCTCTAGTTATCTCCCGCTTGGACTACTGCAACCTGCTCTACGTGGGGCTACCTTTGAAGGTGACCCGGAAACTACAATTAATCCAGAATGCGGCAGCTAGACTGGTGACTGGGAGTGGCTGCCGAGATCATATAACAGTGGTCCTGTAAGACCTACATTGGCTCCCAGTACGTTTCCGAGCACAATTCAAAGTGGTGTTGCTGACCTTTAAAGCCCTAAACGGCCTTGGCCCAGTATACCTGAAGGAGCATCTTCACCCCCATCGTTCAACCTGGACACTGAGGTCCAGCGCTGTGAGAAGCCAAGTTACAGGGAACCAGGCAGAGGGCCTTCTTGGTAGTGGCTCCCATCCGGTGGAATGCCCTCCCATCAGATGTCAAGGAAATAAACAAGTATCTCACTTTTATAATACAATCGAAGGCAGCCCTGTTTAGGGAAGTTTTAATGTTTGATGCTTTCTTGTGTTTTTAATCTGTTGGGAGCAGTCCAGAGTGGGGAAACCCAGCCAGATGGGTGGGGTATAAATAAATAAATTTTGGTTATTATTATTAAATTACCTATTTATTATTCTGCCCTTATTTCAGATGTAATCTATTCAAGACATTTGATTGTATCCAACAAAGTTGTCCCGTGCATGCAACGACTTCCACTTGCACAATCAAACTTTCCTTCCCTCTCCTCCCCTTGTGAGCCCCCCTCAGTTTCTGGAGGTTTTTTCAGCTCTCTGAAGCAGAGGGGGTTCGGGGGGGTGCCTCTTGCGCGCAAGGGGTGATTTTGTTGGATACAACCCATTAGCTCATTCATTGAAAGGTTGACTTTAGAATACTGCATATTGGTTGAAAACTTTTTTTCTTACAGTCGGGAGGAGGTTATTTGAAAATGTTGCTTTCTTCCATTTTAGAACTTAGAATTCAGTCTTTCTACAAACATTACAACAGAAATTCAATACTGCTGATTGAACGTGTCCAAATATTTTTATTATGATGGGTTTTATCATATCAGTTGCATGCTTTACCTTATAAATATTCAAAACATGCATCTATAATGCCAGACAAATTGAATCAGTTACCGTACATTTAATATTCCAAATGCAGTCACTTCTCCATTCCATGCACTTTGAACTATATTGCTGCTTGGATAAGTACAGCATGCATAGGTTAGATTTGATAGGGCCTTAGTAGTGAAGAGAGAAGGAACTATTAGTATACACTTCGTAAGCAAAAGGCAGTAATGTCTCGGAGTACATTTTTGAATAGGGCATTATAAATCAAGTATTGGGACCAGCTCGCCAGTTCCCTCCCACACCCCCCATGTTAGCCCCCTGGAGCTTCCCTTTTGCATCCCATGCATCAGCCCCCTGGACGCACGCCCATTTAAACAACAGGAGAACTTTGAGTAGAGCAAGAAGGGAAGTAGGAAAGGCTCCCTTGTGCCCATGTAAGCTTTTAGACCTTGACTTCTATGTTGTACCTCTCTCTTCTATTTCTTGCTAAAACTATTTTTGAACAACTACTCTCCCTTCTCACTACTCAAAGTTCTGCTGTTATTTTTCTTGTCCCTTTCTGCCTCAGTGTTGTACCATCCCTGCTTTTCTCTAACCTTTCCCGTTGTGGAAACCGCCACCTATTTCCTGTAAAGTGTTGCTTCCCTTTCCCCTCTCCTCATTTTAACACCAAGGCAGGAGAGCATCTCAGTATTGAATATTGCCCTAGTCAATAAATAGCTTTTGGCTTGTACCTGTCTACACTAACACCAAAAAGCAACTTGCTCTCCCAGGCAACCTGCTTGGTGGTCTCTTGGTGGTCTCTTGGCCATTGCAAGGCTACAGCAAGGCAACTACCTAGACAGAGGCAGTTGAGGAGCAAAAGGCAAAACTACTGTGTGGCATCAATGTAGGACTGTAATATAGAGAGACATGGATTCTGTGTGTGAGAGTGTAAAAATTTGAATGCTTCCCATCTCTCTAGGGAAGGTCTTGCTGGTATGTTTTTGAAAGAATCACAAAGGTTCTGTTTCAGGTTCTGTTTCACTTTATCTCAGACAGGAGGAGGAAATGACTGATCACAGGGAGTAAAACCTTGATACCATATTTCAGTTTCCTCTTGCTTATTCCTCTCACACTTGGAAGTATTTATTATTTTTAGATGTTTTAAAGTTTGCAGGCTGTTCAGTGTTGTACAACACCTTTTTGCAAATGCATTTGCACCTTCCAGTGTCCCTTCCAATTCTCTGATTCCTTTAGTGTTCAGAAATTCCCTGGAGGTGCTGGGTATCTAAATGGAATAAGAAGTTGGTAAACATGTCTTGCGCTGAACTACTCAATTTTGTTCATATTTTGTCCACTGTTTAAATGAAAAGCTCTATTTAAATTGCTGCAGTTTATAATCATAAATACGGCTTGAGCAGTCAGATAAGTATGAAAGTGTTTTTGTAGGGCAGGTTGCACACACAAGGCCTGTGGACAGCTGGTAGGCCTCTCCCAGTTGTTCGTGGTCCCTAGAGGAACTCTGAATATCTGTAATCTGATTTCCTTTTCTATCTCATTGTGAAAATGACTATGGCTGCCAAACCAGGAACGGGGGAATGCCTGCATCACTTTATCCACGATGCTCCCTGGCTTCAGTTGTAAATTTCCTGTGTCTGGAGAAGAATGCATTAGACCACCTCTCAAGGTCCAGCTTTGATTCAGTGGTGTGATTATCATTTCCTAAGGCTGTAGATTGTCTTAAATAAAAATTCCTCATACTGCATATTTTGCAGGAGAGGTTCTTTTAGGCATTCCCCAAGATTTCCAATGTTTCCTGTGGAAAAAGGTGTTTACAGTGATCAGGGAGTAAAGCTACAGTTGCAGCATTTAATCAACCAGTTTAAAGCGGTCAAATTATAATTAGCAAGGAGGATTCAGCAGTTAAGTGATGTGAGTGTTACAGAACTGGGAATTTTTCCACTGCCCTTATCTGACATACTCAGTAAACAAAGCTACTATGTTAAAACAGGCTGTGTAAATACCTCAACAGTTTTTCTAACAGCCAAAAGTAGTTGAACTGAAATATTCATAAATTTAAAAAGTAAATGGTTAAAAAGTTATATTCAGTGGTTTAGCAATTATAAATGTGATAATTAGAGAAATTCAAAGATTCACTTGGAGATTTTTCTTACCGAAATACTTGTAAATATTTTGAGAGATGGCAGTATAGTTGCATACACTTTGCTTACATTATTCAGATTTTATGATACAAAATTTAGGCCCACAGCAAACTGTTAAAATACTAATTAAGCATGCCTGAAGAGTTGTGTATGTAAGAAAATGTCCTCCTTAGAGCGAGTGATCTGAAAAAGTTAATTTAACTTTAGATTTTAGATTTCTCTGGTATTGTATCCATTCCAGTTGCCCAGTTTGTTTTGAATTGTATTCATTCAAGATGACACTAATTTTATGAAACAATATATTTTTAAGTGGTTTCCAGCTGTAATGCTTTAAGGGAATATGAAAAAAAGGATTATAAAATAGGTAAAAATTTAATATTATTACTTTTAAAGGATTTGCTGAACCAACAGATTGAAGTGGAATACAAAAAAGGGAGGTATGAGGAGGTCCGGGAAATAAGTCAAAGGAAAATAAGTAATGGAAAATCTGTGTGTTTTTAACTATTTTTATTTTGTATTTTTGCCATTCTTTTTTTTTTCCTTTTCTTTTCTCATTTTCATTGTAATATTTTAAAAAATCTTAATAAATATCTTATAAAAGAAAAAGAAACAATATATTTTTAAATTTTACAAAATCTGAAAAAATAGCATAGTGGAAAATGTACTGTACTGTCAAAAAATTGGTGGTATAGTAGTTGCAGTGTGCTGCTCCAATGAAGAATAAAAAAGGAAATATTAAATATGCTCTTCTAACTGTGGTTTACCATCATATTTTAATATCCAAATGTTATTTAATTTCTGAAATACTTAATTTTTATCAATTACTTGATATGTTTTGCACAATGCTTTCCCATAAAAATAGCCTTTAAAAAGAAGCAAGTCCATGTGCCATTTTAATAAGGATGCTGAATACCTCTCCTGGTCCGTATTTGATCATGTTTGATCAACTGGTGGCATTAAAAGGGCTTCTTTTGCAGCAGTATTCAGAAGACCGTAGGGGAGCATCCCACCCATTTGGCAAGCAACTGTATGCTAATTGCTTGCTGTGTGAAGCAGTGACATGTGGATGCAATTTCAAGCTGACTCCCAAGTAGCAACCATTCTGTGTTGAGGGAACTTCAGCTCCCTGAATGATGTATCTAGCATTTCCTTCTTGTCTTTATGGTTTTCAGCTACTCTAACGCTACCCGTCCAGTGTCGTGTTCTGTATTCGCCTTGCTGTTGTTTTGTGTCTCTGCTATCTGTTGTGTGTCACTTCTCAAACTCCTGAGAGCCTTACATCCAAACTCCTTAAATCCAAACCTATCTCCCTAACAGATCCACCAGTGCAGGGGTAGGCAACCTAAGGCCCAGGGGCCGGATGCGGCCCAGTCACCACCTAAATCCGGCCCGCAGGCGGTCTGGGAATCAGTGTGTTTTTACATGAGTAGAATGTGCCCTTTTATTTAAAATGCATCTCTGGGTTATTTGTGGGGTCTGCCTGGTGTTTTAACATAAGTAGAATTTGTTCTTTTATTAAAAATTCATCTCTGGGTTATTTGTGGGGCATAGGAATTTGTTCATATTTTTTTCCCCAAAATATAGTCCAGCCCACCACATGGTCTGAGGGACGGTGGACCAGCCCACTGCTGAAAAAGGTTGCTGACCTCTGCTCCAGTGTAACAGAAAAGTCTTTGTTTATACTTTCCTGTACTGGAGGCAAAATGTTTTATAGTGTAACATTTCTTCTGTTCCTGAATTACAGCTCATGACAGAATACATTTCAGAAATGTAACTGTTAGCACAGTTTTGCTCCGTGAATAATATGCAGGCTGTATTTCTTCAATAGATTAACAGAGGTCACATGACTACAGAAGCTAAGAGGGCTGCCAAGATGGAGAAAAAACTGAAGATATTGCTTGGTGGTTATCAGTCTCGAGCGATGGGGCTCATAAAGCAATTAAATGACTTGTGGGATCAAATTGAACAAGCTCATCTTGAATTGCGCACATTCGAGGAATTAAAGAAACATGAAGATGCTGCTATTCCTAGGAGATTAGAGGTAAGGTCATGAAATTCTGTTGGCCATCTAGAAAGAAGGAAGGTGGCAAAAGTTGTGTTAAGTCATGTAATTTTATTAGAGGTTGCTGCATCCATTAATTAAAAAAAAAAGTAGAGTAGAAAATCAGCATTAAAAAAATAGTGTATTACTTTAGTCCATTTTATTTAGATGATTTTGTGTTGCTTATCACCATGTCATCAGGAGTCTTCTTTTTTCTTTTTCTTTTTCTTTTTCTTTTTCTTTTTCTTTTTCTTTTTCTTTAACAGTTGATCCTATCCACAGAGTTGCATGAGCTTCTCTAACATAAATGTGCAGGTACATCATGGGAAAAGGCTCCTATGTGTACGTTATGGGATGTGTGCTTGTGTTGCATAATCTGAGACTCCCCGATCGTATAATAATTTGCATTCTGCTACTTCTGGTGCCTTTTTATCAGCTGACCATTTTTATTGTTGCAGTGTCTAAAGGAAGATGTTCAGCGGCAACAGGAACGAGAGAAAGAACTTCAGCAGAGATTTGCAGAGTTCATGCTGGACAAGGAAGCTTTTCAGTCGAAATATTAAGTCACACATCTTGCTTAAGCCATGTTTTGTAACATTTCTCAAATGCAATAGATAGGTTTTGCCTCCTGTGTCTCAAATCAAACATAAGCAAATTGAGTCCCAAATCCATTTTGTGTTTTACGTAAGACTGAAGGCCATGCATCTTATGAGGAAGAGGTGAATTGAAACATATACAGAGAGGATAATTGACACGCACTAAGGGGTGCTGTCCAGGGTAGATTTCTGCTGATCACATCCACATTTTTGACCCTTTACAAACTGATATTCTGATATTAAAAGGAAAAACCAGCAGATTCTTTTAAATCACATCATTTGCTAAATTGTTATTTTACCATTGCTATGATCCACAAGAACCAAACACTTTTGTCTGTGTGCCAGCGGCTATGTACTGTGAATTTGGGGTGTAAAGCAATGTATTAAACTGTGTTTGTGTCCAGTAGCTTGAATGGAATCTGAAATTATTTGCCTGTAACACAATATTTATTTATGTAAAGAATGTGCCCTGAAAACCCAAAAGACTGGCAAGGTGAAAAATAGTCAGTTCCAAAGGTGGCAATTGAAGAATTCACTGGGAAGCGTTCCTGCACAAGCCCTTTGTGCCATGAAAGGAAAGTGTGCAGCACAAAAGTGTCACACTGCTTACTGTAGCTCCCATCCATTCCGAGGAGCCTTGCTCCCCGTGACGTGTGGTGAGTGGACTGGGGGTTTAGGCCAGTCCCCTAAATCTTCCTCTGGTGTCTCCTTCCCAAAGCCTGGGAAGTTTCTGCCTGGCTTAGGGAGGAAGTCTCAGTGCTTACATGCGTGACGTCGCAACATCACACGTGCAACGTCGTCCCCCACGAAAACAAATCACCCTTGCAAACTCTGGCCCTAATGGTTCCCCTACAAAAAATTTCACCACACTCCACTGCTTGCTCAGGAAAACTTCCAGAAAGATTCTGCCAATAAGCAGTTGGGTTCTTGTCTCACATTTTATGTCAGTCATGCCACAAGTCTCCTTTTAATTGGAGTCAGTAGTCATTATCTTTAGAGATTCAGGAAAAATGTTTGAGTGTGGTTAGAGGAGAACTAACCAATAGGGAAGTCACCCCTCCTTGGGGCACCAGAGAAATACCATAGATACAGGAGGCTTTGTTTCTGCTGGAGACCTGGCGAGGGTGCTACCAACCTCTCTCCATTTACACGAACATGAAATACATGATAGATGGAGAGTAGCATCTTGGCGGTTAAGGGAACATTGTTGTGCGTTTGTAAAGTGGCCTTAACAATATTAATGAAGAATGAGTGCTACCTAGCAAACTTAAATTTTGCTGTTAGCAATTTGGAATGCGACAGTGGTACTGGGGGTTTTTAATGGTTAAATTTGCAGATAACTGAAATTAGGTGGCTCATAATACATTCCAGCAGGTTTCTCAGTCAGCAGTGAACAATGGCTGATGGAAGAGGATCACCTGCATCTGATTTATCCAAACATTGAGTACAAGGATATTCCTTTCTCTTCTCCCCTCCCCCCAAGCCTCTGGTTTTTAAAGTACAGCTTTGCCAGGCTTTGGCTGTGGTAGAAATCTCTCCTGTTTAAGTCACAAGGTTTTCAATATATCAGCTTAGACAGCACCTGCCTCATTAGATCACTTTAATGTCTGCTGGTTAAAACAGAAATTCTGATGTATTCAAATTACTAAAGAATTCCTCAAAGCAATCAGAAATATTTAAATTCATGGTGTCCATCACTAGCATTTATGAATTGTGATGCTTGGAAATGCAGACTATATTTCTTATTTATTCAGTTCATATGCTGTTAGGAATCTTTGCCAAATATGTTCGCCAGGTAGATGCCTCTTGGGATTCCACAGAGCATTTTTTCTATTCTGCATCTCCTTCAGCTCTTCAACATCTCCCCCCACCTTCCAGTCAACACACATGTGGGGTGCATTTTCGTTGTTCTGGTAATACTTAAAATAATTTAATACATGATCATATCTGCTGAGTCTGTCTAGCAGTAGAGAATAACTTGCCTAATAAAGTTCCATTGTTAGTCAATGCTGATAGTTGGCTTTGCCACAGTCATGGGAGAGATGCACTCAAGGTAGCATCATGCAGGATATTTTTGCTATATAGAAATAATATCTATGTTGAGGAAAGAGTACACACATGGGTCTCATGTGCCTCAGATACACTGGTCAGGCAGCAGTTATGCACAGCAGCTACCCCATCTACATATGTTTTTTGTAATTTGTGTGTAACTGCTTATGCTGTTTCTGAGAAATTATTTCTGCATAGGAAAAGGTAATGTATACAGACTACATTTATCTCACTACAGTTCAGCCTGTAGCACTGCCAGTCACAAAAAGAAGTTATAAATTGATGCAGGAGTTCTACAATGATCCTTCTAATATTTTTTAATTCAATGAAGTATATTCATACCCATCAAACAAAATCTTGCCATCACATGTGTGATAATTTCTATCATGTTCAGGGTGATGTGGTGATTGGTCTGGCAACCCCACATGCAGTGTGAATGCCTCAGGTACAGCCCTCATTTCAAAGCCCCCCAGTGATGCACTGTAGGTGATTGGGGGTCATACCATATTGGATTCAAGGCTGCCTCTACATCCCTTGAGGCAGTTGTGCAGAGCTGTTGACCCACCAGATGTTGCTGAGCTGCAAATCCCATCAGCTCCACCAAGCATGGCCAATTGCCAAGGATTATGACAGTTGCAGTTCCTCCACATCTGGATGGCCAAAGACCCTCCAGCTTGGGGCAGGATCATGGCAGCTTCAGATTTTTAACAAGGAAGCTAACACCTAAGGCAAATCTAGCCAGTCTTCCCTTCTCTAGGGGCAGGGGCAGCCACGACTCCCCGCCCCAAGCGTATGCCAGTAAGCCCAGCCATTTCAAGGGGGGCTGCTATCCTTTTGGACAATCTAGATGGAGGTCTTGCCTCTACAGGGTGCCAGGCGGTTTTATTCCTCTTGCATTTCTGGGGGAAGGAGAGAGGACCTCAGCAGAGAGAGTTCAGTCTTGCCTGCTTCAAAGTTCTCTCAAGACTGGTAGCACCAGAAGACGAGGTTCTGATGATCTGGTTGTGTCCTCTGCTATCCCTCTAAATCCTCTTCTTCTGAAAGATTTGACACCCCCCCTCTTCCTTGAGGGATCTTTGAGGCTGAAAGTATCAGGAAAAAGCCAAACCAGGGTAGATTGTTCATTCCGGACTGCTGTCTGAAACTTGGCCAGGGCTGCAGAAATACATTAGGAATGTACAGATGAAGAGCAACTTGCAGCTTCTGTTGCTTCTATAACACCAAACTTGCTGGCAACACTTAAGCATTTTCTGTAGCCCTCCCTGTTGCCTCTTTGCTGTCAACTTCCAGCTTGCTTCAGCAATGCTCTCCAAAACGAATGGCTGCACATACTTAAGGAGGATTTTTGTTTGTTTTTAATTTATCAGGCTTGACAAACCTTGTTTTGGTATTTTGCTGTCAATATCAGGACTATGAAATATTGCAGTTAAAGCAAAGGGACCTGCTTTCCTGTCTTTGCGCATGCTCATTCTTCTTTACACAAATGGCATCATATATTTGTATCTTGGTGGGGTTCCCCCCCCTCCCACGAGGTCAAGTGGTATACGTTACCCTCTCCTCTCCCTTTTCGTCTTTGTAACAACCCTGTGAGGTAGGCTAGGCTAAGTCAATATTTGTACTTTAGCAGCAGTTCTTGCCCAATGGATAGTTGGGTGGGGTCAGGTGCAGGGGCCCCAATCCACATACAGTGTACTGCACCCAGGAAATCCTGTTGGCACCCCACACATAACATGCCCCATCTACACTATCTATCCTACCACTTTCAACAGTCATGGGTTCTCCCAAAGTATCCTGGTAATTGTAGTTTGCTAAGAGTTCTGAGAATTGATAGGAGACCCCCCATTTCCTTCACTAAGCTACGATTCCCATAAATTGTAACAATCACCAATATCTCTTTCAAAGGAACTCTAGGAATAGTATATCTTTGAGTGGAATAGAGGTCCCCTAATGCAGGTGGCGCTGTGGGTTAAACCACAGAGCCTAGGACTTGCTGATCAGAAGGTCGGCGGTTCCAATCCCCGTGACGGGGTGAGCTCCCGTTGCTTGGTCCCTGCTCCTGCCAACCTAGCAGTTCGAAAGCACCTCAAAGTGCAAGTAGATAAATAGGTACCGCTCCAGTGGGAAGGTAAACGGCGTTTCCGTGCGCTGCTCTGGTTCGCCAGAAGCGGCTTTGTCATGCTGGCCACATGACCCGGAAGCTGCACGCCAGCTCCCTTGGCCAATAAAGCGAGATGAGCGCCGCAACCCCAGAGTCGGTCACAACTGGACCTAATGGTCAGGGGTCCCTTTACCTTCAACATTACTGCATCCAGAATTATTGACTGTTTAAACATGACTGTTGAAAGTGACGTTATACTGCTTTAAATGAATAGTGCAGTGGGGGGGCGGAGGCTTATTGGGTTGTTTTTGTTTTGATTATGTATATTGTGTTTTTATCTTGTGATTTTATCCTGTGAACCACCCTGTGGATATAGGGTGGTATACAAATAAAATAAAATAATAATATAGCCCCTATTATACAACATTGGAGGGAAGGTTTAAAGGGAAAACCACTCCTATTTTCCAGCTTTCCCTTGCCTCTTATTTTTGTGCTGTGCATCCAGGAATGTAACTCCATTATTTCTATACATCCCATGACCCATTACCAAATGCTGGTGTTCTTACTGAGTGTTCCATTTCATTAATAATAATAATAATAATAATAATAATAATAATAATAATAATATAATAAATTTCCATTCTGGGAAGTAACTTTTTTGGGGGACACTGAAACCATGGCCACACGGCTTATCCTTGTGACATATTGTTGGCATCCTTGTGTCTCTCTGGGGGTGTTAGCAGCGCTGAAGTGACCTTCCTGGAATGAAGCCTGGGCAGTGTGTGCGGAGGTCCTGGGCTGCCCAGATGACAAGTCCCCTCTTGGCCTCACTGATGTGGTCCAGAGGAAGGCAGAGCAATACATTTGGCACCAGCTGTGCTGCCAGAAGGAAGTGTACCAAGTGCCATCCAAGGGACTCCACTATGGATTTGTGTAGCCTTTTCTTCCGAAGATCTCCCGCACAGCAGTGGAAGTTTAGGTTTAGGAGATTGTGTTGTTATTAAATTCATAAGCCGTCCTTCTGAAGATCACATGGACCACAATATAAAAACACAAAATATATCAGCATAATAACAAAAAAGTAAAAATGAAATTAAAATAAAAAATACCTCTCCCCCACAGACATTTTATATTATATTAATTATATATTATAAGGTATGGTTTTTCCAATATAATACCATTGCAGTGATTAAGTGAAAGTTCTTAGCTGTGCAGGTGTGGAAAATCCCTGCTCTGCTCAAATTTGAGGTACTTTCAGATATGCCC